ATATTCAGCAACTGAACCATGAGAGCTTCGTCCTTCTTCATATATGTTACTCCAATCACTAGTTTTTTGTCTGAATTCTTGTCTTCTGTGCCACTCATGTTGTGATTGGATACTATCTCGCACGGCTTGTCTAGTAGCAATGTCTTCATCAATAAATCCTTCATAATCATCTTCCCCTCTTAACTGTGATAAAAATTCATTTTTTCTTCTTTTATTGTCAGCCTTTTTTGATTTGCTTTCTTGAAGGAGTTTCATCATGCTTTCTCTTACTATACCTATTAATAATATAGTTTTAAAAAAAAGAAAAAATTAGTTGCACATGCTTATGTAATTTTATAATTTTTATTAAGAAATTAACAATAATATTTTCTAAAGAAATTAAAAAAACATAACATACCAGTAACGTTGGGGCATGGTGCAACATTGCCAGTTTTATGAGCAATGTGTTCTTTGAAACGTGTTATTCCTCCTTTTACAACTTTACCACAAAGTTTACATGAAACATTTCCTCTTGTATTTGGCACAGGTGTTCCAAAATGCCAACCTATATCATCACTTGGCGTGCCCTCTAGTCCTTTACTCGGGAACTCTTCACGTGGTGGCATACTTACTATTTTGTATAAAAACAAAATAAACTTATATTTAGAAATATTAATATTACTTATTACATCATTAAAAATTGATTTTAGGCTAAATTTTTTAATTTTTAGTTTTTAATCTTAAGAATATTATTAAATAACTTAATCTTTTAGATGCACTAATTGATATTAATTTTTTTATCACAAATAACTTCAAATAATTATATAATAAATACAATCTTCAATAATTACACAAAAATAATAAGAATTAATCTAATATTAAAAGAATTGACAACGATATAAATATCAAAACAACAAAAAAAATTATTAAATTTCATATGCAAAATTATAAATTAATATCTAACACAATCAAAATATAATATTTAATTTTAATTAATTTTTGTCTAACTTATATAAAAAATTTATCAATAATTTTCATCTACAATCTCTATGTATATCATATTAAATTATTAATCTTTTATTTTTTTTAATTATAAATCTTCAATCCCTCTAATTAGATTTTATCTAAAAAAATTTTCAAAAATTAAAAGTTTTCAAACTTATATTTTAATAAAATTTTCAAACCTATATTTTTTATTTTTTAGTTTTTAATCTTAATAAGAATAATAGATCATAAAATGCTAAATTTGTTAAGTAACTTAATTTTTTTGATACAATAATTGATATAAAATTTTTTTTATCACAAACAACTTTTAATAATTATATAATAAACACAATCTTCAATAATTACACAAAAATAACAAGAATTAATATAATATCAAAAGAATTGACAATAATATAAATATCAAAACAACAAAAAAAATTAAAATTCATATGCAAAATTATAAATTAATATATAACACAATCAAAATATAATATTTAATTTTAATTATTTTTCATCTAACTTATACAAAAAATTTTATCAAAATTTTCATTTAAAATATCTATATATTATATTAATTATAAATTTTCAAAACCACTAATTAAATTTTATCTAAAATATTTTCAAAAATTAATTACAAAATTAAATAAAAAAGTTCAATCTCACCTTCCATACACCCTACCACACTCAATCCCTCCCCACCCCATCAATCCCTCTCCACCTTCCCTCCCAACATCCCACCACACCCAATCCCTCCCCACCTTCCTCCCAACACCCTACCACACCCAATCCACACCCAATCCCTCCCCACCTTCCCCCCCCCCAACGCCCCCACCACACCCAATCCTCCCACCCCCCTCCAATCTCTCCACGTGCCTAAATATATCAATCTGTTTGACTCTTTCTAACAACCCGAGCCGAGACCATTCTAGAAACATTTCATTTTACTGTTCATCATCTTCTTCGTCTTTACTTTCTCTGGCTTTCCAAAAAAAAAATTTTTTTTCCTCTCTCATTTTCTCTCACATCCTTTTATCACTATCACTTGCTGACTTACCTAGTATCTACAGATCTCGTTCATCTTTCAAACTCTCACAAGACACAACAGATCGATCATTTTACAGAAATTTTACAAAAAAAAAAGGTAATTTAACTTTCTTTTCTTACCTTGTTTGATCTTGATTCTTGAATGTTGATCGAAAACTTGAGGTTGATTTGAATTTGAATGCCGAAAATGTCGTTTGAATGGTTGAAACTTGAAACTCTGTTTTCTAGCTCGTTTTACAAATTTTTTTAATGATAAAGATCTGAGATTGTGAGCTTTATTTTTTGATTTGGCTTTTACTTTTACTTTTGCAGGTTTGTTGTTTTATTTTGCAAGCATAAAATTTTGTTTTTTTGTTAAAACTATTAGATCCGTGAGTAGAAAAATGGAATAGCGATAATAACGATCCGTTATTACCGCTATTGCCCGTTACGCCGTTATTTTGCGGCCGTTATTCTCCGTTTTTGATGAGAATGAATTTTTCAACTATTTTCTATACATTAACGGTGGCGGAAGACAGCGCTACCACAATTTTACGGTCGCTATTCTGCTATCAACCCATTTTTTGAATCCCTGTGACAGATATTTATAACTCACAGTTTTACTAAATATTTTAACAATAATCGAATGTGACCACTTATCTCTGACTCTCTATTTTTCCTCAGCAGTCGGCTTAAGATCCACCTCACCTTCCTTTGAAGACTCATCCACATAGTCATGGTCAATCGAAACCATTTCCATGTCATCGCTACTGTATTCTTCTTCCACATTTTAGAACCCATACTCACCATCCAACAGTGAGTCTCTATAAGACACCAATCGCCTGCTAGGATTGGTAGAGACGTTGGCTGGATCTACAGCTACATGCTTGGCTCCGGTGAAGTTTTGTCGTTTCTTCCCTAAAATCAAAGTTTCGGGTGAGCAATCGTAGGTTCAGTCATTTCGATTTTAAAAAATCAATAATTGATTTAATTAATTTTTATTTAATAAATAATTAAATCGATCAAATATTTTTAAATAATTGATCATAATCAAATCAATCTATTTGATTAAATAATTAAATTTTTTTATTTTTTTATTATAAATAAATAATTAATTACGAATTTAATTTAATAAAACTCAAAATAAAATATCATTCAAATTAAAAGACTAAAAAATTTAATAATTTTAATAATATTTTACAAAAAAATAAATATATTTATTTTAATTTTTAATTATTAAAAAATTGATTAATTTAATCAATTAAATTATTAATTTTAAAAATAAAAAATTAATTAAATAAATTAATTTAACTGATTTAAAAAATTAATTATAATTAAAACTAAATAAATCAAATTAATTCAACTAAATTAACTTAATTTTAATTAATTTAATCGATTCAAACTAACTTTTACTCACCTTTAATTTCCATCGCTCCAAGATATTGCCTTTAAACTTAAGACTAGGTCTGAGTTGAACTCGCATCACCTAATTAAAGGGTATGCACTATTCATCTGGCGTGCACTAAGGAAATATAACAATATGGGGGGAGTTTTGGTTGCTGAAAAACTTTTAATCGCGGCTAAATGGTAAGGGTTTGATTCGAAGCCATAGTAGTTTTGATGGATATCTTTTTTTTTTTTTTTAAGCATTGAAATTGGTACTATTCACTCGTGCAGTAACAATGATGGAAATGTTTCCAAAATATTGAAAACATCAATTTTCACTTTCAACAATTTTCACAATTTTTTTTTCAATTTTTTGTTTTTAAAACAAAAAACAACCAATCAAACGTATTTTTATTTATAAATTTCAAACAACGTGAAAACAAAAACATATAATACAAAAAAAAAAAAAAAGATTCTCCAAATGAGCCTTTAGATTTTAAAGTCCTTCAAGACAACGCAACTAAGAACACTAAAATCTCGAGAAAATAATAAGAAAATCTTTATAACAAGAAAGTAAAGATTTTCCTATAAAATAGATATATATGATTTCAAAAGCGAGCAAATATCTATATTCTTTTGTATTTAAAACCGAATAGAAAAGCATTTTCATCGGGCTAAACCACAATTTTTTTTTTTTTTCAGTTGAATCCATTTTCAATTTCAATCAAAACCCAAATTCAAAGAAGGGAAAAAAATTATCTGGACTCAATAGTTGGTTTAAGGTGCCAATTCTATTCGAAACTTGCTCCTTGGCGTGACTATGAATATGATTTTGAGTAGTTGCTAGAGTTGGGTGCTGTCGAAATAAGAGAGAAGGTGAGAGGGTTGTTTTTTTTACTGTGGGAGTTGAAAGGTAAATGGTGATATTGTTCCTTTGATTGTCTTAAGCAATTTTCTTTAGAATACATTTGAAATTTGGTTGTATTTATTAATTGGTTGTGAAGAGTAAAAAAAATGCTGTATATAAAATTTTCCCTTATTTTATAAAAAGCATATATATTATTTATAATCATTATATTATCTTTAATCAATTATCATTTAAAGTTATGCGTAATCCATAAAAAAATTTATATAAGACACATATTTATAAGTAATGATTTTTTATTATAATTAAATAAATATGAAATTATAATAAATAAAATTATAAATAAAATATTTTTTTTTATAAAATATTTGCCTACAAATTCATAATACAAGGTAAAAGGATGAATTAACAATTAAAAGGTTAAAAGGTTAAAACCTTTCAAATAAAAATTTAATATTAATTTAATTTTTTATTATTTTATTATAATTAATTAAATTTTTAAATATTTTTTTAATAATTAATTGATCATCAATATTAATTTTTATCTGATCAATGATTAATTGATATGAAAATAAATGTTTAAAGATTTATTTTGATAAAAATAGATAATTAAGAATAAAATTGAATATAAATAAATATTGAAAATTTTAATTAATTGATTGTAATAAAAAATAAAAATTTCATTGATTGTAGTAAAAAAATTGATTATTGAATTCATGGAGGTATTTTTTAATAATTAAAATTTGTTATTTTATACATTTCATTAAAAAAAAAAACTTGTTATTTTATTATTTTTCCCCCTTCTGTCTCTTTCGGCTTTCCCAGCTTCTCAGCACTGCGGCCTTCCTTGCCAATCTGGCTCTCGCTTCTCTCTCCCTCTCTCCACCACACCCGCCATCCTTTTTGGAAAATCGAACAGAGCGCCGCCTTCATCCCCCGTTCCTGTCCATTTGGGTGAGTGCTGAAGTTTTCATAGCTTGCTGTAGCGATGGAAACTGCTCAAAAAGGCACAGCCGTTTTTGTGGATCGTGCTTCTCGATCAACAAGAGGCAGAAGGTTACAATCTCAACCTAAAATAAAAAATATTCTTATGATTTTGATATTATTATTATTTTTAAATTTTAAAAAATAGCTATTATTAATTTAAAAAATGGCTATTATTTGCTATTTCCAGGATGACAAAGTTGCTGGACGAGGAAGTTGAAGAAGACGAGTCGTTTTGGAATCAAGAAGCTTTTAAAGAGGTACACACACACTTGTTCTAGTGAAAATGCTCATATCATATTCATAGATTATAGATATTGGCTGATGTGTTGAAATACGGGTGATTTTTCATGTCCCTTAAATTCCTATAAACCCTGAACTCATGTTGTTTATTATATTTGGAACAAAAGAATTCAGACAGGATCAGTATTTCCTTCTTATAGTTTATTAGCTTTAGTTTTTATTAAAGGATTCACAGAGATTTTACCGCTGTTTCTGTTTGTTTTCCTCTCTTCAGGAAGAGAATGATGCCAATTACGAAGAAGAACCGGAGGTTGCTGATGTGTTTGATAGTGACTTCGATGAAGATGTTTGTGTTGCTCTCCTCTCTGCTTTTAATTTAATCCTTATATTCTATTCTATTGTTATTACTCTTCGTTCTTAGAAAACTGATAATGCAAAAGCTGTCTTGGGATATCTTCTTAATCTTGTATTGGATGCATCTCCTACATTTAATTAGTGCTAAGAAAACTTCACGGGTTTCCTATCATGAAATTTGACTCTCTTCTATGGCTGCTAGGAACCTGAGCCAGATGAGGAAGTAGAAAATGAAGCAGATGAAAGGTTTGGATTCTTTTACCTCAGTCGAATTGTATTTACATCTCCATTTCCTTGGTTTTATACTGAATTTTTCTAGCAGGGTTCGCACGAAGAAACGTCTTATATTTCCTGGAAAGCCTTCTTTGAAGAAAAAGAAGAAAAAGAAAGTCCTTTCAAAGTTAGATGGTGTTTCCAAGGATGAAAATCTGACTCAAAATTCCTCTCCACAACATCATGACACCCCTGATGATGCAGAAGGTGAGAGAATTATCAGGAAATCTACAAGAACTTCAGTTATTGTTAGGCAAGCTGAGCGAGAGGCATTACAAGCTGCTCTGCAAGCAACAATGAAGGCAAGTTTTGGTTATTGTAGTCTTTCTTCTTTTGTAGGAAAATATAACCAGTATACATTGGTTGTCAACTCAAAAATGGGAAAACAAAATGGATCATGGTATTAATCAGTGCATATATATGCTTGAGCTGCTGTGTGTGTGTGTGTGTGTGTGCTTTTATTTATTTTAACGAGATTTGATTCAAACTAAAGCTAAATAATCTGAGCAGTGTTTTATTACTGACTGTTTCAGTATTATCCTTCTGATGTCTGTTCTTGACGCTACTCTTGAGATTTAGGCAGATGTTGGAAGGATGAGGGGCATGGTTTTCTTAAAGCCCGATAGTATTTCCTTGATTCTTGATCTGTAAATCGATATCTTTGTACAAGTAAATTGCCTTCCTCTCACACTTTAAGGAGGAAAAAAAGAAAATGAAAAAAAAAAAGTAAAATATAAGTCAAACCATTTGACAATTCTAATCCTTTCAAGAATATTATTCTTGCATGGTTGATTGGCTCCCACAATAAAGATTGATGGATGTATGGTTTTTGCCGCTAAGCTGAAAAGGCATTTATTTTCATTTAACTTCATTCTCTGTCTCTCTCTTGCATGTATTCGTAGAATTGAATATGGATGACTTTTTCAAGTTGAAACAAAAATTGTGTGAATTATACAATTTATAAAAATTGTTCTGTTACCATAACAATTTACTCTCCCCTTTATTTGGGTCATATTAGATAAGTGTAATGAAATAATATCAACCCATATTAAGTTCATGCAAGGAGTTTAACAATAGGAAGTTGTAATTGAGTGACCCAAAGTTATGATTGCTCAGAGACTTGTCTTATAATGCTATCCTAATAATAATGGCCTGTGTTTTTATCATTTTATTTGTATTAAATCAATCAAGAATAATGCGTTCTTAGAATGTGACCAGTAATCTGATTTGATCTTATAAGTGTTGAGATTTTATACTAGATAAGAGTTTAGATAATTATCTTGGAAAGCAATAATCATAGGTCTTGAAGATTAATTTGTCAATTTAATCAAACTAATGCCTTAGTAAGTGGAATGGTTATCTGGTAGTTTACGGGTTAAAATCTAAAGTTGTGATAGCTAACTTATTTGTATCATTCTATGTTCGAGTTACAATTTTTAATTTGTTTGTATCATTGTATGTTCAAGATATAATTGTTAATTTGTTTGCATAATTGAGTTATTGTTGAAGCTAGTGGTATTTTAGAACTAATTTCTAAATTTTGTTATTGCTAATTACATAAATAATAGACATTTAAATTGTAGATTATGAATTATGGTGTTTGATTTTTGAATTTAGTTAGGTTGGCACCTTAAAAAGTTCAACAGTTAGTTGATAGTTTAGAGGGTATGATCAAAAATTGCAGTGGTCAATTTGTTTATATGAACCCTTAAAACAAAATCAAAGTTAATGAATTATCTTTGTTATTGCCAAAAATAAAAGTCTTCCCATAATATGGTTGTCTTTAAAAGATAAAAGATACTGTCCCCCCTTTTTTTGTCTCTTTGATAAATTTGCAATGACTTCTTAGCTCCATTCAGAAGTTTAATATTGTTTTAAACCTTATCATGTTACTTCTAGCACCATCAATGAAGGTTTATTATCTAATGAAGTATGGCAAAATAATTGCTTCTGAACAGGCTGATAGGGGACTTAGATTAGGCTTTATTCCTTATTAGTTTTGGCTGATCTAATTTCCTTCAAAATATCATTCACCCATCCCAAGGGGTTACTCATATCAAAGGTCATTTGGTTACAGTAAGGGTATAATAGTTTAAGTTTAGATTAGTTATACGTGGAATTCTCTAATAAAGATTTCAGGCTCATAATTTCATCCTATACTTTATACACATCTCCGAGTGGTGGCTCTCTCATTGAGCATTGAGATACATAGATGTTTATGGTCACTTGCACTAAGTTTTTTCATTGTGAATATAATGTAATTAGAAGCAATAAAAACACTATCACCACCTTTTGCTGAAGCTTCCATGAACCACTGGTTGAAACTCAGGAACTATTCAGAGCTGTGGTACTGTCAGAAATCAGAATGTAAAGTTTGCATGTCTTAAACCATCTAAGTTATATTAACATGTCAAATTTGACATCGATACGTACATACATGCATACATACATACATATATATCTATTGTCAAATTCATTAAAAAGGGTCATGAGAACATTCCATTCATATATGACTGGAATATCCTCATGACTGCCACTAACTCTTTTGAATGAATTTGGAATTAATATGTTTGCTTCCTGACTACTGCTTGGTTCACTTACAAACTCGTTAACACGATTAGATATATCATCATATCATGTGCTTTGTGATTTCATGATCGTTTTTCTTCCCACTGAGAATGGAGAGTGGAAAGAAAAAAGAGAATAACCATATAATTTGGAAAGAGTGAAATGCAGTTATCTGATTTGATTATGTTTTTAACGTACTATTGTATCACCAGCCAATAAAAAGGAAAAAAGAAGGTGAAGAGAAGAGGATGACGCAAGAAGAGATGCTTTTGGAAGCAGCACAAACAGGTTCAGGCTGGAATCTTACCTCTGATGTTTAGATTTCTGAGGTTCTTCTTATTTGATTTTAACTTGTATTTATGAATTTTAATCTTGCAGAAATCATGAACCTAAGGAATTTAGAGCGTGTATTGGCAAGAGAGGAAGAAGTCAAGAAAAGAGCAATAATCCACAAGGCAGTATATAATGGGCCACAGATTAAATATGTGTCAAAAGATGGCAAGATTCTCTTAATATCTATTGATTTTAGTTCTAAAATGCAACAATAATGGATACATGGTTGTTGTTTATTTGGGGTCTGTTAATTGAAACTATTTATGCCAAACCTTGCAATCTTTTGCAGGTTCTTCATATCTAGAATTTAGTAAAGGATCATCATTTCATTCAGAGCTCTCAACCACATCACTCCCATGTAAGTTGTAGGTGGTCATGAGTCAATGTTAACGTGATTGCTAATGTAGGTTCTTCAAAATTTTCTTTCTTATCAATCAGATCGCTGTTTTGCATTCAATGGCTTTATTTTCTTCTGGCTTTTCTCTTATTTATTTCTTCTGGATGTTATTTTAGCACAAGCATTCAATAATACAACCTGCTGAAGTTGAAAAAAAATATTTATACCCCATCTGGAACTAGTTGTAATAATTTTCTTTGTTGTAGGGACATTAGTTTAGACCTTTACTGCTGCTACAAGTTCAGCTATTTTTGCTTGTAGCCTCAAGCTAGGATCATTGGGGTTTTGCATGGGGATCAAAATTAAATATTTTTGTGTTGTAGTCTTCAGTTGCCATTCCACCATGTAAGGTAATCTAATGTTGCTGCTAGGGGAAAATGAGGTGTAGGGAATATCACAACCGATGGTGTAGAATTTGTATTTTCATAATAAATGTCTTTTACATTAAATATCATAGGTGGTTTTGGTTACCAGTTTCATGCTTTGGAGATTAATAACATTAGAATTTGTTTGTCAGTAAGTTTCTCCAATGGCTGACAACTGCTGTGTAAATGACAATAAAATTATCTAACTCTCTTGGCTTATAGAAATGAACTTTAATAGATTTTCTTGAAAAAGCAAAAGTGGAAATCCAAATTGATTTTAGTTAAATTATTTATCATGCTTTTGTGAACTAAAATCCGAAGCGGCTCTGCAAGGTGTGCAGATAATGCAAGAAAATTAGTTTGTACCTTTATTTTAGTCATAAAACACAAACTTACTTCCTTCTTTGGTTGAATTGGGTTTCTTGCTATAGCTATGATCCTTGAGGATACTTGGAAGAAAACTTTTTGTTTTATGATTCTCCAAGTATGTGCATACTATTTCTGAATTTAACAACATAATGTGGATGAGTTAATATTCTCTGGTTCATTTGGTAATTATTTTATATTGTATGTTTGGTTTCTGGTCTTTTCATTTAATCACCATTATTTATTTTCTCTATGAATATGCTTTTGATTTCTCTATTTTGTTGATATCCAGACCCTGAAAAGGCCATGTGTGCTGTTACTGGATTGCCTGCAAAGTAAGAGCTTATTTTCATAGTGGTTATTGCTTGATCTTTCATTTTCAAGTCTCGATGTTGAATAAATCGTTATCTTTGCAGTATTTGGAACTAAATGATGATTTCTTAGCAGTTGTACTTGAAGCATATAAAAATTTTCTTTTGTAGTGTTTTTCACTAGTTTGTTTTTCTAAGTTTCTAAAGCATTAAAGTGCTTTTCACCTTAGCTCTTATTTCTTGAGTATGACATTGACTTTTGACTCTTTTGTTAAAGATGCCATGCTCACAATCATGATCAATCAGTTTTCAATAGCCTCTGAATGTATGGTAGAAATGTCATGAGGTTGGGGAATACAAAACTGAAAGCCGCAAGTTAGAGATATGCTTCTATTGAGCTGGGAATTTCATCATAAGTTGTTAATAAATCATGCTTTTAATTTGGTAGAGATCTTAATTAAGTGATACTTAACATTTTAAAAGAGACCAATTTGGCTTGTTCCATCCAACCATATTTGTTTGAATTCATCATTTGATGTTGTAGGTACCGAGATCCAAAGACAGGGCTATGTTATGCAACCAAGGAAGCCTTTAAAATTATTCAAGAACGGTATGGCTGACTTCAATTTTATCAGTCCTTTTTCTGATGTAACACCACCTTGAGTTCTTCATTTTCTATAGTTTACATGTATTTATATTTAGGAGTACTCCACTATCAAGCAGTTGCTTAATTATTAAGCAATTTCTGATATGCTCCCTTCTGAATTTACCGACCGAAAAAAAAAAATAAAGAAAGAAAGAAAGAAAGAGAGAGGGTGCTAATCTTGATTTCTTTGCTGTGTTTGATTTGGATGATTTTGTAGTTTTCAAGATGAACATAAAAGTGCCCAGAAGGAAATGGATATGGGTGTCTTGTTTGATTCCCTGTCTGGTAAAGGTTCAATCCCGAGGCAGAAGAGATCTCACATTTCAAATAGAAATCAAACATCACGTTTCCAATACTTGGGGCATTTCCACAGAACTCCACCTGATGAAGATGAAGATTCAGAGTAGTTGATGAGGTAATTTCCTAAATATCTCTCAGCATGAGATTGTGCTTGAAGGCCTTGTCTATTCTATTCTATTCCAAAGCCTTCATATGATTGGGTACTTCACAAACCAGATCAGTTTCCTGTTTTTGGACTCTAAAATTTCTGTAAAGTGAAAGAAGGAAAAGAATAAGTAGATAGATCCAATGCATTTAACTGACTCTGTAATTGCAGACACTATCGTGGCTGTTTATCAAAATGCAGTTTCTAAAGTGTTTAATTTTCTGGGGACACCTCCTTTTTGGCTGTTTCTATCATTTTGATTAATCATTAATAGTTTTTTGTGTGGTCATAGAACTAAAGCTCAGTCATCCACTGCAAAAGATGAATTTGGGGACTAAAGCACATATTCTCTAAAGAAATTTTGTGCAGATTGACTTGCCAAATGAGCCTCTCAACCAAAGAGAATGCTGATAATGAATTTGCCTCTATTTGTTGGCCAACCAAGTGTTTCTTACTTTTCCTATAGGAGGTTGTTGTATGTGAATTGGTAACTAAACTCACCTGATACAATTTTGAATATAGCAAATTCAATAGTCAATCGGTACATAAATTGATTTCCAGGTATGCACCAAGATTTTACTTTATTAAACATATTTGAAATTGAAAAGGTATTAATTTTCCTTTCTTTTACATACAGACTTGAATTCTGGTGACAGACAGTGTTTGTGACTACTCCATGCTTTGGAGAATATCAAGATCAGTTTGATTATGCTTACCAATGATATATTGGTTTTACTGATTTCCTCATCACTTGAAAAATCAATATATAAAAATATATGTATTCTGATTTTTTTAAATGGTTGGAATTTGGGAAGAGAGATGGAGAGAGCAAAACATCACCATGCTTGAGGTGAGCATCGAGTGTCGCATTTGGGTGTGTACAAATAGTGGGATCCATGCTACATTATTTGCACACTGCTAAAATGTAAGTCTCTGCTCGCTCAAAGCATGAAATTGGGGCAAATGTGTCATTATCTTTGATTATTGTGGTGAACATGGCCTGTAGGGGAATCCTATCATGTGATAATTTGGAAAGTGTGATATTTGAAGTTTTGTTTGATTTTCAAGATATCTAATAATTAAATTCACTTGTTTGGTTGAGGATAATTTTGATTTACTAATTCGTATATAATTATTATAATTTCCTAAACAAACTATAGATAACTTTTGATTTTATTTTAATAAAAAAATCTAAATGACAAATGATACTTTTAGTTGTAAAAGAAAAGAAAAATTTTAATTTTTTTAATTAATTATACCCAATTATGGTGTTTAATTAGACATCAAGCTATAATTGTTGTAATAAAAGAAAAATAAAATCAATTATAACAGTTTAGAAGAGCTAAACATCTTATTTACTGTTATAAATATGTTTAAAAAGTATTAAATAAGACATTTGTTCAAAAAAACGTTTTATTTACCTTTGTAAAGATTTTGAAAGATCATTTATCAAATAAGATGTTTGTAAAGAAAAACATCTTATTTGAATGAGTAAAATGATACGTTTGTTTAAAGAAATGCTTTATTGGATATTTTTGTAAAAATTTTGAAAAATATCAAATAAGAGGTTTGTAAAAAGAAATGTTTTAATTAATATTAATTAAAGCGTTTATAGAAAAAAAAAATCTCTAAATTGATTCTTTTTAATTGATATCAATTAAGGCATCTTTAATTGATATTAATTAAGTCATTTCTTCCTATAGACATTGTAATGGTCATATATTAAAATTAAATTAAAAATAAGGTAAAAGTTTTTATAAAAAAATTAAAATTGAGTTTCAAACGTACTTTTAAAAAATGTAACGGATATATGACATTTTTTATTCAAGTAAAATTTAGAAATAGGCAATATTTGCTTTGGAATCCTAAAATATCACAATGAAAAATGAGTCTTTGATTTCGAGATTTTATGTATCATTAAAAATCTGACTTTTTTTTTATAATCGAATTATTTTGAATCAAACGTAGTAAATAAATACCCATCGTCAAAATTTTAAGAAAAAATTTGTAGATTTTCATGAACCAAACACATTCTAAGATGATTTTTTATGAATAATGGAGGAGAAACTTAGTTACGTTAAAATAACAAAAAAAATCTCTAAATTTTTATTTTTTTTTATACTCATTTAATTATTAATCTTTAATTTGAGTTTAAATAAATCTTTAATTTTTAATTTGAATCAAAATAAGTTTTAACTTTTTATTTGTATTTAAATATATTTTTTATTTTTTAAAAAAATTTCTAAAATATTTTTAAATCTCTCCTACCTTACTACATACTTTACTGAAAAAAATTTACGCATCTAATTTCTTTCGAACTTGTAATCTCTAAGTGTCAATTTCAATAACATGCTAATTAATCCAAAAAATAGTGATAATTCATTTTTTATTTGAAATATAAATTTATTTGAATGTAAATAAAAAAATAAGGATTTATTTATATATAACAAAAATATAAATTTTATTTTAAAAAAATAAAATAACTTAAAAGCTTTTTGCTATTTTAGCTAATTTATTATTGAGATGCGGTTACATGATTTGTCACTTGTCAAAGGAAGTAAAAGATTGCATCTTTTAATTTTTTTTATATAAAATTATAAGTACAAGTTATAATTATAATTAAATATTATATCATTAAATAAATAAATTAATTAGTTAACCACTAAACTAAAATATAGCAAGATAAATTTAATATAAAATTAAATTAAATTCAGATAAAGTAAAATTTAAACTTAGAATCACATAGTTTTAGAACTTTCTCTTTACGGTTAAGTCAAGTATATTTTTTAATATATCATTCATTTAATGTGCTTAGAAAGAAGAGAAAGTGTATATATATATATATATATATATATATATATATATATTTTCATGCTCTTCATATTAGATTTAGATGATATTAAATTAAAAGTATAATTAGTATTAAAGTTTTAAAACGCACCTCTAGACCTCATCTACTAGACTAATAATAGAAGTCACCATTGTTTTTTGGTTTTAAGAGTCTCTATCGCCGAATTACAATGAACGAAGTTCCGTTAGAACGTGATACTAATTCTGCCTGCCTGATATCATGCATTTAGTAAGTATTCTATACTTTTATATCATGTTCTTCCCTCAATTCTCTTGCTTTCCTCATCTCATTACTCTGCAAAAATCAAACTTACAGATCAGGAAGAGGCATGGGAAGTGAAGAACGTGAAGACAACCCAAGAAAGCATGTGCCTACTGTAATGCTTCACGGCAGCTACAAGCTCAAAATGCTTATGCTTCTCATACTTACCAACCTTCTCACTATCTTCATCTTTTCTGGTCCTTTCAGCTTGTCATCGCGCAACAACCGCCTGATGATTCCTCTTGTCCTTGATCACGACTCGACATCTCATCTCTTGCATGAGCTCAACTCTACCAAGGCCCAACTCTTTGCCAGTTTCTCTCTTATTGCTGATTTGCACCATAAGATCAACTCAACCAACTTGCTTGTGCAGGCCCTCCTTATTGAGCTAACCCGTGAACGAAAGCCTTCAGTCGAGAAAGAAACTGATCAAGCTGTGAAGTCTATTAATAATGATGTTTTTGGGATTGCTGCCGCTTCGTCTGATGAACTCAAGCTTGCATTTCTGCCTCACAAACTCCCATTAGGGTACTCGCCAAGGATGGGATCTGATGAGATATATCCGCCTATTGGAGCAGGCTGCTTGAGGTTTCATGAGGAGCTGGCTCAGTACATGACATATGCCATTGGTGGCGAATGTCCTGTTGATGATGATTTAGCTCAAAAGCTTATTCTCAAAGGGTGTGAACCACTCCCTCGCCGCAGATGCCATCCCAAATTCCCCGTTGGTTATGTGGAGCCAACACCATTTCCTGACAGCCTTTGGGCAATTCCACCGGATTCCAGCATTATTTGGGATCCTTACACTTGCAAAAGCTACCAGTGCCTCATTGACCGCAAAAACTTTCCAGGGTACTTCGATTGCAAGGACTGCTTCGACTTGCAAGGCAGAGAAAAAAGAAGATGGCTCTACGATAGAGGACTAGATTATGGAATCGATCAAGTTCTCCAAACAAAACCAGCTGGGACTATCCGAATCGGACTTGACATAGGAGGTGGGAGTGGCACTTTTGCTGCGAGGATGAGAGAGCGAAACATCACCATCATCACTAGTTCAATGAATCTTGATGGCCCCTTCAATAGTTTTATTGCATCCAGGGGGCTGATCCCAATACATGTTAGCATTTCGCAGAGGCTTCCGTTCTTTGAGAACACACTGGATATTGTGCATTCAATGCATGTTTTGAGCAACTGGATCCCTGATGCCACGTTGGAGCTCACCTTCTATGATATCTACAGAGTATTGAGGCCAGGGGGACTCTTCTGGCTCGACCATTTCTTCTGCCAGGGGTCGCAGCTCAATCAAACGTATGCTCCCATGTTGGGAAGGATTGGGTTTAAGAAACTAAGGTGGAATTTTGGAAAGAAGCTTGATCGTGGATCAAACAAGAATGAGTGGTACTTCTCTGCGCTGTTGGAAAAACCAATGACCTAAGAGTTCTTTTTTTTTTTTTTCCTAGACCAAAATGGTTTGTTATGCATATTTTCCTTCTTTGTTTTTCACAAATGATTTTCCTGGAGAAATTGGAATGATAAAGAATATCTAAATAATGTAACATGATTTTTTATTTTGGGAAGCGAAAGGACATACAGATTTTCACTTGAAAATTTTTGTTATAATAGGATCCGTAATAATACACTCTCAATTCGGATACATATGACCTACAATTATTATAATATAATTATTTATTATAATTTAATATTATGTAAAATTCATAAAAAAATTATATAATACCAATACTTTTAAGTAGTAAATTCTCACAAAAATTTTTATTGTGATTTGTTAATTATAAAATTATAATAAAAAAATTATAGGTGAAGTGTCTTTCTAAACTAGGCTAATCAGCTAATTAAGCTAGCATGGTTTAAAATTTTAATGGTTTTTAAATTTTTATTAGTAGGAATTAACTATTGACCAAACTTTATGTAATAATAATATACTAAAGCATTTTAGGACTAAGATTAGATGATAAATGTAATATTAGTTGGATCTGATTAATGTGTCTGTATAGACACTTGTAATTAGTTAAAATTTATATTCGAACATTTGACTTAATTGATTGATACATAATTTTTTGTTTAAAAAGTAATAAGTTTCTTTTTTTTTTTTCAAATTAAAAAGGTAATTAAAATTTTGCTAATTTAAGATCTATTTTTTTATTTATACATTTATTCTTGTCAAAATTTAAAAACTAATTAATAAATTACAAGAATTTTTTATATCTATCTCTTTAGCAAGTGCTTATATACACTCGTTAACATTTGCATATAAAGTTCAAGCGAAAAACCCATTGTTGAAAATGTCTTTTAAGGCCCAATAGATAACAATTTTCCTTCAACAACGACGACGACGAGGACAACAATAACAACAATAACAAAAAAAAAGAAAAGAAACAATTGTCAATAAGCATGCCTTTTCTAAGTTTTTTCGGTTTCTAGGTCCTATATGATTGAGTTGTTCAATATAGTTTAAAAAATTTTGTAGTTGATAGTGTCATGACCTGAGCACGAGTTCAAGCTCAAATGAATCTTGCATCACATAGACATGAACTAACGATAAGATGAAATCAAGACAAAAGTTCAAGAGCCGCACAAGTTAGAGCTTGAGTCTTAACCCATAACATTATTGTGAACTCCACTTATTTTCATGGTTCTATCAGAAATGGACTAGTGCAACTGCAACATCCTCACAAATTTTATGCCATATCTCATCTCATGGGATAAAATGTCACTTTCAGTTTAAATTTTGGACATCCAAACATGGAAAAGCTAGAACAAATGCTATGGAGACTGACATTTCACCTTCCTGATAAGTTAAAGGTTGTGTAAAATTTTTGTTGGTCCGAAATGTTTGATTCCTAATGCTATAGAAAACTATGGAAATGAATTTCTGTCCTGTCAAGCGGAGGCGAACCCACAAGTGATCAACTGAAATTGCCAACAAGGAAAGGGAATGAGAGGGAGAAAAGGAAAAAACAGTGGCCCCATTCTCGTGTCTTTACTCCAAAGCTAATCACCAAAAATTGCATGCATCTAAGGTTTTTGAGAACCTTGTGTTCCAATGCTTTTATACTTTTTTGTTGCAGAGAAATGATATATATCTCAATCAAATTTATGTTCATTTGGAAATGTAATTCCTTATGTTCTCTGGCTTTCCTAAATTGTCTTTCATGATAATAATAACAAAAATTCACTAGAAAAAGTACTTATAATTTGCTTAGATGACAAACGGATATTTGGCTTAAATGACAAAAAAAAAATGTCTTCTTTTCTTTGTTACTTGAATTTGAATCCATTGAGAGGTTAATTTCACATAAATTTATTAAGATCCATATAAATAAGCTTACTTGGATAAACTCAGAAAGGGAATATACTAGACAAGACCTAAAAATCCCTTACCACTAAATTCAAAAAAAAAAAAATAAATAAATAAAAGTTGCCTAGTTGTGCAAAATTTGAGCATCTCTTTTCGTCCATTAATGTGTTACTTGTCCCACTCCTGTTATTCGGCTGCTTGATGGCAATACAAGCTCATCACTGACCAAACCTTTCAGCAGGAAACTAATCAAAATATCCACTCTCAAAAAGCTCCATTCGGTTGAGAAAAACATTACCCTGCAAACATTTTTTTGGGGCCAAAACTTAGTCCATTTACAATCATATTTCCTTCATTCCTTTTTTTATAAGTTCACCATATTGACCTGCATTCCCTCTCTGTAAAATTTTTTTCTTAGCACATTTCGGTGTTTTAAACTTGTTGAATGCTTCATTTTAAAAGTAATTGTACGAACCATCCGAATTAATTACCGAATTTATAATTGTGTATTTTAATTTTAATTTCTACGTGTGAAAAAGCAGAGGTAGCTTGTCAGTATCAAAAATTCAAAGCAGCACTGCAAGTGGAAGATGTAGCTAAATTTACTTGAGTGTGACAGTCCACCTTCCCGGTGAACTATTTGTGTTGAAGATAAGAAGCATCTGACATTTTTTTCTTGAGAACTTAAATCTTTAGGGCAGACATCTACCCCAAAGCTAATATATGCAGAACTCATTCGATTCCTTATTGGTTCATCTTAATTATTATATGAGAATTTTAGACATGATATAAAAAATATACGATTTAAAATTAACAAAAAAAAAAAAAAAAAAACGTATACGGGTTTGCTTCTCCATTCTATTATCTACCCTCAATTTGCTTGCTCCAATGAAAAGCAATGTCCAAAAGATCACACCTTTTGCCTCTTTTATGAGAACCTAAAATGTGCATTGTGACATTTTTGAGGTTAAGGATCTCCATATTTGATACTTGACACAGAATGACATGCAACTTCATAATTTTACAAGGATTTCTTGTCTGGCCACTAGCAATCAAGACATCTAATCTACTTTCTTTTTTCTTTATATATGTAACTAGAATTTAAGAGTTCAACACTTTGCCAACATACTACGTTACTGTTGGCAACCTATCTGTTTTCTTCTTTGTGTTTAGATGCAGAATTGCCTTACCAAATACAAGTCTGGCCAATATGAGTTATGCAGAATCTGTCAAAGCTCAACTACAATTTCATTTTTAAGTGCAATTGTGCATAAATAAGACTTTTTTTTAAGTTATATTTAAGTGTTAGGAGAACATGTTAACTTCCAAATCATTGTGCCCACAAATCACCATGCCTTGCCCTCCAAAGTCAAACCTAACTTTCAATGATTCTGGTACGTTTAGTACTTATAGTTTCCTTATGGTCTGCTCTTCCTAGTATTTCTCTGTTTTCCTATCTATCGATTCATATATTTGTATAGTATTCATGTTATATTAAATATTTGTATAGTACTCATATTATATTAAACAAATGTAAAACACAAAAAATTATCTATGTCAGCACACCAAACACAAAATATATTTTTTATTTTTCTAAACTCATGTAATTTTTATTAAAATTTTAAATCATATTATTTTTATATGTACTTTCATATTATTTTTATATTGTATTATAATATAATGTTTAAAATTACCTAGTGTACTTGAAGCCTCACAAGAAACAAAGGTTCTTGGTGACCCAAGTAATAAACTTGTTCGTTGATCATATGATGCATGTAGAACAAACTACCTAAACATAATTAAAAAGATTGAATTGATAGGCCTGATGGTCCCGTGCCAGAAAAGATCACTCATTTCATAATTAATTACTAATGAACATAAAGATGGATCAATTGCCTTTGTGGTCCCAATCCTCCCAAAAGGGAGAGAAAACATTTAACAGCTACTTTAACAAAGCCTTTAATCTCCATCCACTACTCCCCCTAAAGTTGTAACTACACCTTGATATCTAAAATCTCAATAACATATTGATAAAACAACCTAAGAACCAACTGTCTCTTCCCATTTTTCTATATACAATTTGCAATGAATCAATTCCCCCACAGGGACAAGAAAATGGAAGATGCAATTAAACCAACATTGTGAAGCGGTTCTAGCTTTGATTCTAGCTATATGTATAGTCTCCATTGTATGAATTTATCCAACGAATCCCCATTTCATCTCAGCATTGAAATTGGAATTTTGCTGCCACCAATGGGGGATGCAGAAGAAATCTGAATTAGTTCAAAGACTTATTAGTCAAAAGTTTCCCATTTTGTTGTGAAGACAACTGGCTCAGATTGCCTTTGTTTTTGCCGCATGGTCGGCATTTGATCTGTCAAACTCTTCTGCTTCTCCTGCATTTGCTCCTTTTGTGTTGCTATAGGCCCTTTCTCCATTGAATGCTCATGTTGCTTCACTTGGATTTTGTCTCCATTGCTTCTTGGCGTTTTGTTCTGCAACTTCATGGCATCAAGAGTTTCAATGTGCTTTTGCACTTTCTTTTCCTTCAAGAAAGATTTTTGAAATAGAAAAAAAGATTAATGGAACTGAAATTAATGAACTTCAAAGGTAATGAGCTAATCACAAATGCCAAAATACCAGTATTTTCTTTTGCAATTTCAAATCTCCCTTGACAGCCAGTTCATCCAATCTAACTAAACTTGTCATCAAGAATCCAGTCAAATTATCCACATCCATCTGCTGAACTTCATGGCCTCTAGAAACTGTTGCCTCCAAGGCTTTAACCTAACCAGTTGCAATGAAACAATATTGTTCATTAACAAAATCTGAACCTATAGAATCCGAGATTAGCTTAATTGGTTTATGCAACAACCCTTAAATTTAACCTATTTGGAATTTAAATCCTAGCACCTGAAACCCTTATTCCGAGGTTAAGGCCTCCTTAACCATATGATGTTTTAGAGAGAAATTTACCTGGTCAGCAAATTTTTCAACTTCCAAGCCTATTTGTGATAAGGATTTGGAAGACTTTTCCATCTTAGCATTTTTTAGCATCTCAAGACAACGTCTCTCTTTGCTTGCAATGTCTTCAACTAACAAAATTTTGGATCCATCTTTCACTCCTGCAACATCTAAATATGCCTTTGAATCTCTCTCCTTGTTTTTGTATGTCAGCTTCTGATCCAGGGGATGCAATCCAGTATGATCTGCCAGCATTTTCTTTAAGTCCCCTGCAAAGTGCAAACCAAAAAAAAAAAAAAAAATCATTTCCTGAATGCTGCAAGTCAGTTGGAAATAAAAAAGAACTACAATTACCAAAGCTTGCTTGAGAACTGATACAAATATCATGATAAGTTGAGCCATATTTTACTCTGACTCTAATGGTGGGAATTGAAAAAGAAGTTTGAATGGAACTTGAATCCCGCTTTTGAACCAACATTCCTCCTGGCCTAACTTCCCATTCCTTTGGATTCACACTGCTTTCACCGCCACCAATAGATTTCTTGTTTGCCATTGAAAGCATCTCTTTCACCGCCAATACAAATGACTTCAATTCAAAGACGGTAGCGAAGTTTGAGAAGAAAAGGAGAGGAAAGCAAAGGAAGAATCTAAGTATATAAAGAAACAAAATAGAAATGCTGTTTTTTTGGTAATTAGTTAACGTGACTGGAGAGCAGACAAACAAGGAAACGTTGGCTTTTGAGATTCATTTTTTTACGTTTCAAACATTTTTGTATCATATTTTGAAACCATTCTATTCTAAAAAATTTATGAGTTGCAAAGCACCCGGAGAAATTAATTTTTCTTTTTTATTTTGACAAGACAATTGACATGGACATTTAATAACCAGTACTATAACTATATTTATTTATACTTGGTAAAATTCAGGAAAGGAAAATGGAAAAGAAAAAGAGAAAGAAAAAAGAAAAATCAACTGGGGCCAAGGAGACTATCCCTTTAAACTGGAAAGCAACATATGTGGAAATGGAGAACATGGCACCAGGCCAAAAAATTCTGCAGCCAGTTGGCTCCTGTCTGTTTGCCTAATGGTTACTGAAAAGAGACACCCATGTCAATTGTCTATTTAATATACTAGAAATTTAATTTAATACTAGTGTAACAGTATGTTCAATTATTGTTCTTTTTTTTTACATTAAATTATATTATTAAAATAATTTTAAATACTGATAATATAATATAAAAATAATTTAAAATTTTAAAAATAATATAATTTAAAGTTTTAAAAAAAAATTTAAAAATTATTTCATATTATATGCACGAACACAACTTATAACACAATAATTTTTTTATATAAAATAAATACGATATAATCACAAGAATTATACTTCTCTTTTCTTTTATATTGAATTAAATATTTTGCTAACTTAAGGCTATTATATTAATTTATTTTTTAATGCATTAAAATTTAAAACATCGATGGTCAACTATTACATTTAATAAAAATAAATATTACTATAAATAATATTTTAATTAATTTAAAAAAATTATTAGGCTTTTAATTGGTATAAAAAAACCGACAATAAAGAAGCTTTTGGTGTGGCACTCAACTCATGTATATTACTATTCTTTGGTTAGATGTTGAAGTTATTGCAAAGCTTGGATTAGTATACTTATCCTTACTAAAAAATGAGAACAAGAGCCCATTTTTAGGCCACAAACAAATGATGATCAAATGCTTAATGCCAGCCAAAGTTTCATGAGCTTTCAATCAATTAAAATGTCTCATAAAGTCATAATATAGTGAATATATATAGGCAAAATGGAAGGAGAAGGAAATTTTAATTAACTTTTAATTTTAAGGTAAAGAGAAAGGTAAATATTAATAATAAAAAAAAAGATTGACCCTTTCTTGAATCATTAAATAGAATAAAAATCAATGTAAAATTTTTTTTTAATTTTTGATGAAAACATTGAAAAATATTTATATCTTCGTATCAAGATAACAAAATCTGATATTGAAGAAAAATCACATGATCTTTCAATCAATTGGTTTGTAATTTCTGAGTTTATAAATACTACAAATACTTCTATCAAACCGATAGACTCTAACATTATTGAACTTTTTGAACCAAATAATTTTGATTCTAAAATCAAATCAAAATTGATCAAACTCGAAAACTTATTTATCCCACAAAGATTGTGTCTCGAAGATATTTCAAATAATACTTCTGAAAAACAGAAAGTACCAAGTTTAAAATTTTTCTCATCAGAAAAAAATCTTTATTTTAAAAATCCAAATGCTTCAACCAATTTTAATCCAAATCTAGTTCTACCCCTAACAAATGTTTTTTATTATAAAAAAAATGATGAAATTGAGAGTATAACTAGCAATCAACCTTTTTATACTCCTCACAAAAGTTTTTTTTCAAAATTTTATAGTGCAAACAGTGCAATAAATCTTCAAAACGTAAATAGTATAAGCCATACAGGTAATAATCACATTCATATTTTTGCAGGTGATAATCCATCTCAACAAAGTACAAGTGATAATCAATTCCATTATCATTTTGTTAATTCTATTTTAAACTCACATACTTCTTCATCTAAAACACCTAGACAAGAAAAGATAAAAATGCGACATTTTATAAATAATTTTAGATTATCTGCACCTGACACAATATTATTTTCTAACAAAGATAGATATTATACTTTTGTGAAATGTGACTTTCGATTTCAACACTATAAAACTGTATAATCTACATATACTTCTCGACACTGGAGTAACAATTTCAAGCTGTCGCAACAATGCTTTACCCATAAATAAATGGCAACCAATGAAGCATCCTATCATCATAATATGTATTGATGCTAAGGAAACTATTGTTGATTATAAAGTGAAAAATATTCCTGTTTATCTCAACAATGTTAGATTCATAATACTAAAAATATTATGTTTTCCTAACATGCATGGAGATATATTATTATTTTTTAACGAACTTATGTTCCATTTTCTATATCAAATATTCATGTCACTCTTACAATTGATAAAACATCAATTAAAATTCCTTTATTACAAGAACATAAGCATATTTGTGACAAAAACTTTTAACCAAAAAAACTAACAAATGCTATAAAAGCAACCAATGAAAAACATTGGTTTTATAAGATTTTGCAGGAAAACTTTAATGAACAACCATTAAAGCTTTGGCAAAGAAGTCCAAGATACTGTGAACTCACTCTTCACAATCCAAAAGAGATAATACGAGTAAAGCCCATGATCTATACCAAACAGGATATAAACGAATTTGAGATACAAATCTCATAATTACTAGAAAAAGGTCTGATATAACCAACTACCAGTCTATATTCAAGCTCAGCATTCATGGTAAGAAATCATTCAGAGATAAAACAAGGTAAACCCTGCATGATTATCAATTATAAAAGATTAAATCAAAATCTTATCATTGATTGCTATTTTATTCCTCGAAAAGATGTCTTGATAAATTTAGCAAAAAATGCTAAATATTTTTTAAAATTTAACTATAAGTCTGGTTTTTGACAGATTATGCTTAAACCTGATTCTAAACCTTTAACTGCTTTTAGTGCACCAACAGACCATTACCAATGGACTGTTATACCTTTTGGTCTATGCAATGCACCACAAATTTTTTAGCGTTGGATGGATACTATTTTCAACAAACATAAATAATTTTGCTGTGTATATATTAATGATATATTTTTTTTTTTCTACATTAGATGAGCACAAAAAACACCTTAATATTATTGCTCAATAATTTATTTTACATGATATTATTTTAAGTCTAAAAAAGGTTAAACTTGAAAAAATAAAAATTGAATTTATCGATCTTAATCTATCTGCTAATGGATTAACATTAAAGGATCATATCTTCTCGAAGATTATGATTTTGTTTAAATCATCAGAATGATTTTGAGCTTCTGTATGAGGATCAAGAAAGGCTCCTGAAATTACCCGTTCAATTTCTCATATTTGATAAGGTTGAAAAAATATTTCTCGTTGAAAAACTCTAAGAAGGTTAGTTATGGTGAAATGTATATAGTAGAAATGTTTAGCATATTTTACGGTTTAATAAAATTGATACTTAATAAAAGTTCAAATATTTTTGATAAGTTTCAAAGAAAAGTTTTGGACCAGGATTTGACCAACTATTCCTAATTTGATACTGATGGTTATCAATTATAAGAGATTAAATCAAAATCTTATCTTTGATGGCTATTTTATTCCTCGAAAAGATGTCTCGATAAATTTAACAAAAAATGCTAAATATTTTTTAAAATTTGACTGTAAGTCTAATTTTTGACAAATTATGCTTAAACCTGAATCTAAACTTTTAACTGCTTTTAGTGCACCAACAAGCCATTACCAATGGACTGTTATGCATTTTGATCTATGCAATGCACTATAAATTTTTCAACATTGGATGGATATTATTTTCAGCAAACATAAACAATTTTACTGTGTATATTGATGATATACTTGTTTTTTCTTCTACATTAGATGAGCATAAAAAACACCTGAATATTATTGCTCAAAATTTTATTTTATATGATATTATTTTAAGTTCTAAAAAGGTTAAACTTGAAAAAACAAAAATTAAATTTCTTAGTCTTAATCTATCTGTTAATGAATTAATATTACAAGATCATATCATCTCGAAGATCAAGAAATTTTCAAAAGAACTAGATAATATTAAACAACTTCAACAATTTCTAAATATATTAAATTATGACAGATAGTTTTTTAAAAATCTTTTTAAAAAAAAAGTCTTTTTTTGCGTAAATTACGCAAAGATAATGATTTTGTCTGGACAACAACAGACTCTTATATTATTAAACAAATAGAATCAGAACTAACTAATATTTCTAAAGTTTATCTACCTAAATGGAGAGATCTACTAATATTAGAAACAGATGTCAGTGAAAAACATTAAAAATGTGTCTTTAAAGCAAAAAATCTGCTTAGATAAAAATAAAATTACAAGATAGATATATAAGCTGAACTTAAAAAATATTACAAACCTTTTTACAAACTTAGAGCTTGATACCATTTACAAAAAAAATGCGAAAATGATCTATGTATAAAAGTTTTAAAAAGGAAAGAAATATATAATTTATGTTATTTTACATTAAGTGAAGGATAGTAAACAAGAGAGAAGATGAAGATAGCAAAAGAGAAGATAGAGAAAGAAGAAGTAAAAAGAAATAATTGAAAGGCCTCATCCCCCTAGCTGATTACAATGAAAGCTTAAATAAACAAAAATATGAACAGTAACTATATACAATTATCGCTACAATATACAGTAAAATTTTATCTACAGTACTACTACAATGACTTGCTACAATGGTTTCGATGACAGGTCTCTGTCTTCTTTCTGTTACAATGATTGCTACAGGACTTTTGTCGAGAATAGTAACTGCTACAGTACAGCTGGTCTTTGGGTTTAAACATCTTTATCTTTTTGTGTCAGTAGCTTGGATCAGCTAATTCTTGCTTAGAATTTTTACAAGATATTCTGAGTTAGATTTATCCTTCCATTGCATTATCCAGATTTTGAAATTCAACACCATCTTCATCCAGGGTAGGTGTGAACGTGATAAAACTGTTATGAAATTATTCTAAATTTGTCATCCTTTTTGATATTGGTATAATCTATCGGTAGGATGATCAATCTCTTCCATTTTGAAAAGTCTTTCCAAAAGTTAGATTGCCTCTGGTTCACTTTCTATTTGTAAGTCATCATGGCAAGAATAATAGTATCTTACTATTATTTTTCGTCCATCAATTTTTGTAGATATTTTGGAAAACTTTGTAGTGGTAGCTAGATAGAACAAGTGTTTTGTTTTTTCCATCATAGAGATTCATATGTGAAATTGGTATTAAGAAGGGTTGGTATATTTAAATATAATTTTGTTTAAATCATCAAAATGATTTTTAGCATCTATAGGAAGGTCAAAAAAAGCTCCTGCAATTCCCCGTTCAATTTTTCATATTTGATAAGGTTGAAAAAATCGTTTTCGTTGAAAAACTTCAAAAAGGCTAATTATGGTGAAATATATATAGTAAAAATGTTTATCACATTTTACGATTTGGTAAAATTGATGCTTAATAAAGGTTGAAAAATTTTTTGTAAGGTCAAAAGAAAAGTTTTGGACCAAAATTTGATCAACTATTCCTAATTCGATACTGGTTATATCAAAGGATTCATGGTTAAGGCGAAATTTAATTTTTGGAATAAAATTACCAATTTCTGTAATAAAAATATAAGTAGAAAAATAATGTTCTGAAAATTTTTCAATCAACAATTTTTCTGTTGTCTGAGTAATAGAAGAATTTATTTGTTGAAACAGTTCCTTTGTTAAGAAGACTGTAACATTTTTGAACAAAAAAAATTCTCTTGAGCTTGTTTAGCTGAAGAAAATTATAATTTTCAAAATATTCACATAAATTCAAAAAATTATTTATTTCTTGGACACTATACTGATTTTCTTCTAAAACAAAGAAATCATTATCTTGTTGTTTTAACAGATTAGTGGAAAAAAAGCTTTGAAAAACTATTTCTTTAAACTTTTGAATTTCATCAACCTGTTTGACTAAAAATTTAGCTAATTTGGTCATCTTTTTTCGAAAGCTAGATTTATTTTCTAAAAGATGAGATTTTCAAATATTGTTTAGCAAATTATAAACTCGTGGTTCAAATCTAAAGTTATAAAAGTTTTTAATCTCCGGATAAGAGAGTTTTGTTTTTTTTAGCGATTCCTTTGTTGAAAAAACTATTTGAGAGTAACTCATAGAAGTCCATTCATTTAGATCTTAAGCAAACTGAGAGAATTCTAGTTGAATCTTCAAAGAAAATGGCATGTATGGTGATCTAAAATTTGGAGGTTGATAGAAAAATAATACTTGGTTATGATCTTTGTAAAAAATTGTTTGTTCCGTGTTCCATATCATGTATGCAAGAGAATAAGTATGCAAAATAAATGCAACAAAAATTTTCTAATAGAACAAACATCTATCAAATGCCACTATTAAAGTAAGTCAACCAAAAATGGAAATTTAAAAAAAAAAAAAAAAAAAGCCCTTGTACTTAATTAAATTTATCATCTAAGCTCCTATAGCCCCTATCCTTTTATTCTAATATATTGAACCCCTTAACTAATATATATATATATATATATATATATATATATACAATTAAGCCTTATTTGGATGGAAATGTCACGTCGATTAACACCCCTAAACCTTTTTGCCAATTGACATAAAATTGCTATGTGGCAGTGATGACATGGAATAAATTATCACATGACATTAATAGAAATGTGCCAAATAAATACAAGAAATTTCTTTTTTCTTTTGCTTTTTTCACAAACGCTCAAATGCAAAATTTATTCCATGCCATCTATGCCACATGACAACTTCTTTCTCAACTAGCAAAAAAGGTTAACAGAGTTAATCTATGTGGCCTTTCCATCGAAATAAGGGCCTATATTATATTTTACCCAAAATAAAACTTCCATTCAAAATTGATTCATGAATTAAAAACGAGAGCCATAAATGTAGTAACCACTACTTAAAGAGAAAGTCATTTCACCTTTTTCATTTTACCATCAGTGTCCATTATAGAAAAAGAAAAATTGCAGTAACACTAATCTATCTCTAATAATCTATCTCTAATAGATTATCCAACTTATACATAATTTGAGTAACAGATTTCTGCCTCTCCTAACACCTATTTTCTTGCTTGGTAGAAAAAGGTGCCCACAAATTTCCAGCCTAGTTGCTCCTTTGGCAATAATTCTGCATCTATCTTATCTATATCTATATGTCCAATCCAAATATAATTGATTTTGATATTTTCTTGAGATAGAAGTCTCTACAAGCAGTGGTTCACTATTTCTCAATTAAGGACCTGCTCTTGTTTATGAACTAATAACATGAAGTAGAAAAAAAAAATGCAAGCAATATAAGAATACAGGATGTATCAGAGTAAACAATTTATATCTCAGCTAAATTTGAAAGTCAAACAAGCCATTATCACCAATTCTAGAGGTCAAAACAAATTTGACCTACATGTATTTTAAGCTTATTAGCCCAGGTTGCTAGGTTAGACTTAAGACTAGGAGGTGCGCTTGTCCGATATACCTATACTCACATCAAAACAACAGGCAACAACTCATGCAGACATACAGACATTTTGTCATATTCAAAAATAAGAAGATGAGACATGGAGAGGATTATAGCTCCGCAAGCAGCCAAAAGACTACAGAACACACAACCCTATTTTGCAAAGAATTAAGGTTAAAAGTTCATATTTTTAGTGGCAAATAGAGTGTATTTAGTTCAGTTTTAGTTTTCAAAAAAAAAAAAAATGAATCTAACTGACATGTTACTTTAGATATAAAACTTAAAACTAAATCAAATATTTTCAAAGGTCGAATTGAGCCTATGGTTCAGCTTTTGAACTGTTTTGGGCGTTTAAGTTGGTATTTTTTAGGCCAACCTATTTGGACTTAAAAACAGTAAGTTTTAAATTTTATAAAACAGAAAATAAGCATATAATTAGTACCGGTGCTAAGGCTTTGTTTGGTTATTGGTTTTACTACTTGCTTTTTGCTATTTGCTTTCTAAGAAAATACTATAAAGCCAAAGCAAGGGTAGAATAGATAATCACAACAAATTAAAAATCAACACCAAATCCCACATATTATTCTATATATCAGTAAAAACACAAATTTGTTTTCCAAAAAACTGCTTTTATAAATTTTAATTCTTCAGATACAATGTTTGCTTTTGTATCTAAAAGCATTTTTCCTTTTTGCTTCTAGAAGTGAAAGCCATAAGGCAAAAGTAACCAAAAGTGGTATCTAAATTACTTCTGTTCATACATTCAATTTTTTATTAACAAAACACCTGAAAATGAACTAAAATTTCAGTTTTCTTTGGTAAATCCTAGTGGTAATGGCACTTAATTAAATCTAGAGGGAATGAACTACCTGTTTGCCAGCAAAGTATCGCCCATTGATTGAGTGATAAGCAATGACAGCTGATTCCAACCACTTATAATGCACGTACACATTTCCCCTCAAGTGGAATGAACCGTTTCTACAAACCTGACAAAGACTCACAATTGGTAACCTAAAAAGAAAGAAGAGTAAATAGAAAGTAAAAGAAACTCCAGGCCCAAACATAGAGAAGAGAAGAACTAACAAGCATACAAAACTTTGATCATCTTGACAACTAACTAAAGGTCATTAATTTCAATTAGGAAAAGAAAGGAAAAACATTTATCAGCTTTAGTTACACTTTGACTGTTCTTTTTAAACAAAATCCCTGGAAAAATACCCAATAACAAAACGTTCAAAAAGGAAAAACAAGCTGCAGAATACTTCATTTTATATGTCAGTTCGAAAGTAAGTCATTAACAGCATTAGCTGGGCATTGCAACCTTGAAATTTACAATTGCCCCAAATTTTAAGAACTCAGTGCGCACATCCTCATAAAATTCTTCGTAACACCGTTCAATCTCTTCATCTGTATACTGAAAAATAAAGACAACAAATCAACCAAGAGATTTTAGCAGAGAGTGATATCTTCAAGTAATAAGATCAAAAGAAGATAGAAAACATATGAATCATATATCTACAGAAATCAAATTTAACAATATTCTGCATTCATTTACAAGTCATTCTTAAGGGATGGCCACATTGAGACTAATTAGATTTTAAAAAGATAAATAAATGGAATAATACAATAACATAACTATGCTCAATCTGTCAATAAGGAATAGTCAATCTAGCTCTATATAATCCTTCTATATGCGTGAAAATTTTATATCTATGAGTGTATGTGTGTGTGTGGCAACATATAGAAAACACATTTATCTGTTATAACGCATAAATTAGTTGTCAGGAGGCACACAAACTGCATTGAGCATGCGCAACATACAGATAGATGAGTTATCTATATCAAAATTTAATTAGAGAGTAAAACTTTAGTCTGTGAGCAAAAACCCCATCCAAATATATACTGAAAAATGTAATATTACTAATCTTTTAAACCAAATTCATTCCAAATAACTACATTACTATTTTTCCCGTGTTTGAATTAGTTTTTCCAATTCATATGATAAAGATGTAAAACTAATTCTTTGTGCCAATTATTGCATGCTTAAACATGCATTGTTCCGCTAGATTTTCTTACAACATTTAAGTTTCAAAAGTTTTTGAAACAAAGCTACACTTAGCATGAGATATGAATCTAGTTGATAAATATGATCCCTATTTCAAGGAAAAGCAATGCAGACAAAAAAGAAAAGACAAATGATAGGCTCATTAAACAAAATATATATATATATATATAAACAGCTAGGGCCAACTAGTATTGTATTGATTTTCCTTTGTTCTTTTTATCTTTATTATTTATTTGTATATATGGAACACCCCCTCTCATAAACCAAACCTCCCCCTGCTCCCCAATATCTGAACCTAATAGCTCCAGTTGCAATCTCAAATTCCCCTTGAGGACAGTAGAACTTTATTTGTACACAAAGGTAGTTAATTATGCACCAATACAAGCATTGGTGTTAAGACAGGAACAACTAATGTTGTCTTGATGACAAAAGCCATATAATATATCACCAGAGGGGCATAAGATAAATTAGCAACTGCAAAACAGATATATGAAGTCTACGGCATGATCAGCAACTGCAGAATCCACCAGACTACTAGAAAATAGCAAATTATGAAGCCTAACATTTATATAAATGAGGCTATGTTTTTGAACGCCAAACTAAGGCACTTTGAATATACCAAGTAGGAGCAATATGATCACAATTTTTCTTCTCCTTGTGATCCATACTAAAACAATCTGGAAACGACAATAGTTGTGGCCAAGGCAATAATATGATAGTAGTTACACCCTAACTACAAAATGTGGTATCAAGGTCAAATTCCCCTTCCACCAATTATTAGAGAAAGAAATTTTAAGAACTTCATCAAATACTTGGTGGTAGAAACTACTTCCATACACTAAAACTAAGTATTTTTCTCCTCTTCATTAAAAAGATCTTATGTAAGAGAAGGTCGATTGCACTTATACACAATCTGGTGTTCCATGCATTCTTAGACTTGAGAAAGTGATGTTCGCTGCTAAAAACCATCTATGAATTACATAGGACATTGCCAATTGAAACTAGTTTTCAAGGAGCAATAACCATAAGTGGAACAAACGATTGCATTTGTGTAACCATGAAAATTTATTCCTAATAATAACTTAAATTATATAATATTTATGGATCACTACAAGAATAGCCAATAGATGAAATGTCATTAAAGATACTATGTCTTTACTTGATGACTAATAGAGCATGAGCTCAAATTATGGATACAATGATTGTTCTAATAGTAGATAGAAGGCAAAAGAGGACAAGAGGAAACAAGAAAGGGGATAAATGAAAAATGGGAAAAAAGTAAAAATGTTGCAGTGTAGTATGGCAAACAGATTAAAATTAAAGGATAAACGTACAAGATATTCTCTCTCATATACAGCAAGTAGGATACAGGTACAGGTTAGCTAATCGCTCTAACTCCAACCAACCAACCAACCAATGCCAAAACCAAGAACCTCCACTGAAGTGACTCCATGCATCTCTGATTTAAGTTAAAGAAACTAAATAGCAATTAAAAGTAAATCTGAATAAAAATGCAGTTTCAAACTATGACACATCAGTAATACAATTTTAAGCATGGAAAAGACAAAAACCTAAAATAATTTGATTATATGAATTCAAAACATTAACACATGGCATGATATATTAAGACAATACTTGATTTTAAAAGGAAAATTTGAAGGCCCTTTTATGTAACTTCAGATCTTTGCAGCTGTGAAAGTATTGCAAATAATTCAGGCTTCATTGGGCAAAGAACAAATATATAAATTGATTGCACAGTATGGCAAGTAGTTTCCCAATGACAGAATTATTATCAGGACACAAGTCACAAGGATCACATGAAGGCAGCGTTTTCAGACCTCAAGTCCCTCATCTTGCTCCCACGCAAGGCCAGGACCATTGTACATGTTCTTGATCAGCAGTGTGCATGATTTATCAGGATAAAAATGAACTCTACTGCAACACTGACCAAAACGACATGCTCCAGTCTTCAAGTGGAAAGGACAGTGAGCTTTATCCTTTTAAAAATTACAACCATGAGGTTAGAATGATGATACCTGACTAACAAAAGAACCACCCCCCAAATAAGAGAGAGAGTGCGTGTATCCAGAGAACATAAAGTGTTGTAGCAACCCGCATGAGGATAAAGTTCACATGAAGACAACTATATTTAGCATACAAGAGAGATTAATGGCGGACCTGTTCTGTTCCAAAGTTAGGTACTTCTTTAGCAACACTCTCTAAGACCTATTGTGCCAACGATGCATTGAGGTAGTCAGCAAAAGCCTCAGATTGTGGAGGAAGAGGATTTGATGTAGGCCTATCAGCATCCTGTAGGAAAAAAAAAAAAAAAGCTTTAACATCCAAATTTGTTGCCAGAACCAGAAGAGTAAACAGAGCATAAAACAACCAAATCATGGGTGATTTTCATAGCTTTACCTCTTCTTTACTCTTTTCATTTGCTTCTCCTTTTGGAACCATAACTTTCTTCTTCCTGACAAAGATCTCGTTTCCTTGCCAGATAATTTCAGCTGGCCCTTCTTCTACATATTCCCAATCATCACCCATCTCTTCCTGGCCATCATACAATAATGTAAGTCAAGCCATTTATAAAAGAACAAACATAAACACGTCCAAATTCCTTCAGTTCCAGATTTCTGAAGAAATAAAAAGAATTCACTGCGATTAATCGGTAACTATAAGAAGGTAATTATAATTAACTAAGCAGCAAAGCATAGAAAATTAACTCCCACCGAAAGGATGATACATACATATATACATATATTCACTCCTTCTTTTCACATAGTCTTCTTTTAGCTATAAAACACAGCCAAACAAACAAACCAGCAATAGCAATTACTCACAAAAACCAAAACCAAAAAAGAACCTTGTCTAACTGAAAATTAAAAAGTTTCCTTTTTTTTGCTTTCATTCCTCTTTTCTCTCGAAGAAACCAAACAACACCAAAATCTAATAAAAAATAATAAAACTAAAAAGAAGAAGAAGAATAAAGAAACCTGTTCTCTGTTGGCATCCTCCTTTAGATGATTCCTTTTCTTCTCCACTTCTTCCTCATCTTCTAGGGCTTTCCTCTTTATCTCCATAGCGTGAATCCACGCTCTCTCCCTCTCTTCGAACTCCTTCAACGCTAACTCTCTCCTCTTTCGCTCCTCCTCCTCCTCCTCCTCCTCTCTCTCAATCCTCCTTTGCTCCTCGTGGCCGTTAAGCCTGTCCTCTTCCGCCTCCCACTCCTTCTCCACTGCCTCCTTCCTCAACTGCTTTCTCTTCATCTTCTTTATTTCTTTCCTCTTCTCTTTTCTGCTTTTCTCCATCGGATTATTCTCTCTTTTCCCTCCTCATTCCTCTTGTTTTAAAATTTCTTCTGCTTCAGCTTCGGCTTCCTCCATTGTTAGTGTTAACAGAGGCTCGTACCTATGTTTCGCAGATATTCAAAAGAGGGACGTAAATAAATGAATAAATATATATAAATCATTTTAATTTATTTCATTAATTTAGTTTTTATTATATATTTTTATATATAAAAGAAAAATTATTTCACTCAAATTTTTAGACTTCGTGTTAATAAAAATAAATTTCAAAAATAATAACATAATTAAAGATAAAAATAAATCATTATCAACATCTTAATTTCATTTATAATTAAAAAATTTAAATTTAATATGTTGTGATTATTATTTGTGTTATTGTCTTTTCCTACTCTGTTAGAAGTATTGTGTGTGTGTGTGTTTTTTTTTTAATTATTTGATTAATTATATCATCTTTTTTAATTAATTGTATATTATAAATTTTTTTGACGAAAATAAAGAAAAGTAAGAACAAAACAAAATTATAATTTTAATGATTACAATGATTGCAATGGTCATGATCATTTTCATTTTACCTACAATCACTATAAATAAAATGCAATGGAAAACAAAATCATAACCGTAATTTAAATTCTTCCTATCAGTATCAACACTTAATAGAAATTATATATAGTAGTATCCCTTATCTAAGTGACTAACTCAAATTAAATTATCATAAAAACATTGCCTTCATCTATGAAAAGACACCAAAACTCATCAACTAACATTTAGGGAAGTGTTCTATAGACAACATGAGAACAAGTCAGAACATTAAAAATGATAAACAAAAATTTATTAATTATTATTGTCCAGCTATGAAAGATAAAAAAAAATTGATAACGTGAGTATAATATGGCCATACAACAATTTAAAAAAAAAAAAACTGAATACAGTTGGACATTCTAATAAATAATATTATAATCATCATTTAAGAATATATGATATATATTTGGCTAATTTTTGAAAAATAATTACTTTTGAAAAAAAAAATGATAATAGACGAACAGTAAAAGAATATAGGATGTCATTATCTGAATGAGAATTATCTTTCTTTTTCAATATGATACGGGTATGCGAGGGGTTCAATTGTGTCCATATTTCATAGTTGTCCAATTTAGCCATTTTCTCATACTTAAAGGTTACGTTTGGATTTAACTGAAATTGTATTTATCATTAAAAATTATGTCAACTGCATCATATATAATATTATATTACAATATATATAAAAATTTAATAAAATTTATTTACGTGAATATTTAGTGGACAACTTATATTATTGACATGTAAGATAGTTTTAAATAATTTTTTCAATCAATTATTTAATTTTAAAAATTTAAAAATTTATATTTATCAAAATCTTTCAAAGTATATAAAATTTATCCTAATTTAAATTTGAAAAGACATATCTCATATCTTACTCTTACTCATTTATATGAAATACAAATTTCAAATAAATTTTAAAGATTAAATCCTTAGATCTTAGTAATTATAAAAAAGCATACACTGTTTAAATTAATATTTATATATTTATATAAATTTAAAATAAATAAAGTTTATAATTGAATCACTGTTATTTAATAACTTTTTTGTCTTTAGTTTTCTATGATTTAAAATAAAAAGGAGATATTTTATCTTAATTTAAAATTACACATATTTCTATATTTTAAATTATACTAACCTCATTTATCTTAATTTAAAATTAAACTTGGATGAACTATATTTTTAAAACTTTAAAATTTTTTAAAATTAAATAATTATTAAATATATATTTATGATTTTTTTCTCACAATCGATATTTTATTTTATGATATTTGTCACAAAAATTTGGTCATGATAAAGTTTCAAAATCAAATATGAAAAAGTATTTCATGATATATCATATGTATAAATCTTAGTTTTCAGACTAAAATAATATATACTTTTAAGAGTGTATGTAATTATGAGCTAGAGATTAACTTTTTCATTTAGGTTTGTATGTAATTTTACTTTTCATAATGCTTATTTGGATTTTTTCATAATAATTTCTATATACACAATTTTTGTAATTTTTTACTGCAAATTATAGATGATTATGAATATTTTTATTTATCTACATATAATATAAAATTAATATAAATTAAAATTTTAAATTATAAAAAATATAATAAAAAATTTTGTGCATAGTACTATAAAAAAAAAAAACTAGTTTAATATATATTAGATAACAATTTACATAAACAAATTTATCATATAGGTGTTTATGTTGACAACTTTCTTAAATGACACATAAGATAATTTTTTAAAAGAATAAGATAGTTTCTTTTAATTACAAATTAGATAATTTTAAATTTATTTAAATATCAAAATTATTCAAATTATAATTAAAAATCAAATCAATTTAGAGATATGTTTTCTAAAATTAAAAAATATGAAATATGGATTTTATTTTTTAATAAATAATTTTAGTTGTTTTCTAAATAATCATATTTAAAATTATTTAATTATCAAAATCTTTAAATATGTTTAAAAATTACAAAGCTTAAGTTTATCCAAATTTTTCAATAATCATTTTTATCTTGATTAAAAAAATTATCTTTTTAAAAAATTTACGTAAAATATTAAAAATTCAAGTAATTTTATGTAAGATTTTAAAAATTCAAAAAACTTTCATCTTAAATTTTTAAATAATAAGATTATCAAAACAATTATATCGATTTGAACTCTAATTATCAAATTTATATTTCAAATAAATGTAAAAAAATTAATATTATCTTTATTACTTATGATATCCATTTTAAATTTTAAAAAATTAATTTAAAAATGATCTATTTAATTCTAATTATCACTAAATTTTTTTTATAAATTTAAAACTACAAATATAATGTGTTATACATAATTTTTTTTTCATAGCTTTTTTCTAAGGTATATTTTATTGTTATTACAATTTTTTTTCTAATGAAAATAATTTTTTCAAGATATATTTTATTGTTATTACAAATGTAACTTTTTTTCAAGATATATTTTATTGTTATTACAGTTTCATTCATATGAAAAATAATTTTTTATTTTATTTTTATTTTTTCACATATTTTTCATATTTTGCATAATAATTTAGTTAAAATTACTAAAATAAAAAGTATGTTAATACTTCTTTTATTGTTTAATTTATCATTCAATAATATATATTTTTATTTTTTTAAGAAAGTCATAATTTATTTTTATTTGATATAACTTTAGAGGTGTATAAATATTATTGTAAACAAAAATATCCAAAAAAAGACCATTTTTTACTGTTCACAAAAAGTTTATTTTTTAATGACAAGTTAATATATACAAAATTTAGATATATTATGAGTTTTAAATATTTAAATATAATTTTGAAAAGAAACTAAGTTTAATATATATATTCATATTAAATAAATAAAATTATTTTGTATATGATACGGATTATGATCTAATTATACAATATAAAAAAATACATTTTAATTACATGGATGGTACGGTAAAAATGAATTTTCACTGTGCTGCAGGTATAAAATTTGACTGACCCTTTAAGCTTCAATGAAAAACCTCACCTCCACCGGACTCTATCTTTTCAAATAAGAAAATTTTTTTTTTACCTTTTTATTTTTAAAATTTTTTTGAATAAATAATTATCATTTTAATAAAAAGTAATTATTATCTTCAAGATTGTTATCAATTTATGTAAATATATTATTATTAATATTTTAAAAATCATTTTTATATATTATTATCAAATTTATTATTTTTTAAATATTTATTAACAAAATTACTATTGGAAATAAAAATAATTTTATTAATATTTAATTATTTATTAATTTTTTAAATGTAAAATAATTTAAAAATATTATTTTATATAAATTTTAATCTAATATCTTTAATGATCTATTGAATTAATTACAATTTTAGGATCTGAATTTTGGTAAAATATATAAATTGATATCTAAAAAAATAAAATATATAATTTACACCATAAATTTTCAATTTGTACAATTTACACTTCAAACTTTCAAATTATATACTATATTAACCCAAACCCTAAACTTTCAATAATGTAATATTTACACACCTGTTTGTACATACCTATTTTTTTAATACGTAAAATATTATGTTTTTTCAAAATGAATGTAATATCTGTCATGAACAACAAAAACAAAAAAGAATTGAAATGAGTTGAAAACTTTATAGTACAAATCAATAAATTTATTATTAGATTTTTTAATACATTTCGAATTTATAAATTTAATCTTTTGATTGATAGATTATATAAAAAGACATTGTAAATTAATGAATATATTCATCAATAAATCATAAAAATTTAAATAAAATAATAAAAAATTTTAAATTCGAAGAATTTTTTTTTAGAGAAGTAATGTGAAAATTGAATAATTGAAAATGGATTTTTTTTTTTTTTTAAGGTTTGCTTATAAAGGCTTTTGGAAAATTAACAACATTATATAGATTTACAAAAAAATAAATAGATAAGGAAAATGAAGAGATTTCATCATTTTTTGATTTAATGAATTAAACTTTTTATTTTCTATTCATGAATAGAGTAATTGTGATAATGAGGTGAAGAAATTGATAATTACTAAAATTAAATACTTGTTGATTTAAACATTCTTTTGATAATTATAAAATTTTAATTTGTAAGTTGAAAGTGAAATTAATTTATAAAGTCATACAATAAAAAAATAAAAAAATAAAAAAATAATTTATTTATGAAGTTGACACATGACAACTTTGAAGAAAATTGTAAGTTTAAATAGAATTAGATTAGATAATAAAATAATGACATTAGATTAATTAAATTTTAAATAATTAAATTTGAGATAAACCGACTAAAAACACAGAGCCAGTCGCAGCATTTGCTATGTTGTAAATTGCTTTCCATTGGAGTTCGGGTGAGCAAGATTTTTTTTAATAAATAAAGGTGTGCTACCACGTGTCAGCAAATTATCCATATTTAATATTAAAAAGTGTAAATGGATGGATATTTGGGAGGCAAAGCGGGCATTTGCGTTTAGATTTGAGCGTGTGGGAGAGACAGAGTGGGCATGGCAGTAGCAGCAGCAGCAGTAGTCGGCTACTGCAAGCCTTCGCCATTTGTTGGCCAATTTCCTTCCAGCTATGTGAGCTTCTTTACTTTTTATTTTTTTAAATTGGAGTGGTTTTTCGCCTTCTTCCGATATATGTGATGTTATTACAACTGATAATCAAATTGTTGGTTTGAATCTGTGTTTATTCAATTCTTTGATAAGTCAAATAAGCGGTGTTACCTATCAATTAAATTTGATGATAATTTGTTCCTTTTTTTTTTTTTTTTAAAGAAGAATTTGGATAGATTATGGTGTCCAATTTCGTTCATTAACTGTTTCTTACCAGCTAAGGTTTGACGAACTGTAGTTTCCAGGAAAAATGTTAACTGTAGGCTATTGCCTGGTAATAAGGGTTTTGTTGATGCCTGGTTCACTACAAAAGCTCTATTGCCAACCATGCTCTCATACTCTCAGGCATTTCCGGCAGTGCAAGATCTTGAAAAGTTCTTGGTCTCTAGTATTCTAGGGCATTGTCAAGCAATGTTTTTCAGTTTCCATGGTCTGAAAGAATTGTTTTTCTTTAAAAAAATTTTCAAGGGTCAAATGAAGAGGCCCACAATCCTTCAAGAGCTTGCACTTTGGCCACATCTTTTTGGTTAAGAATATGGTTATTCCAACCGATTAGAACATTTCCAAGTTCATTTTGATCCCACCATTTCCTTATTTCTTGCTGTGGTACATTGTGTCCGCTGATGAATTAATTGATGATGAGAATGTCCATTTTTTTTGAAATTGTAGGGGAAGTCAGTATCTTCACAAAGCAGCAAAACCGTGATGGAGGCGTCTAGAATCACTGCACTATTTTGGGGATCTAAGAAGCCTGTGAAGTCTCAACCTTTGGATTCTTCATTGGGAGATTTCACTTTGACAGGGTCAGGAACAGAGGTGTTTTCATCTGATGATTCTGTAAAACTAAATATGTTGGAATTTTCTTTTCCTGGCTGTATTAAGTGGCTGGTACTAATGTCACGTTATGGTTTCTAACTTCAGGAAGTTATGGAGAACCAGGCAATAGGCAAGAAGGTATCGGTCTTGGTTATTTCTTCAATCATGGAGGTTTCACCACATGAATGGAATGCATGCACTCTGGACGCTACAGGTCCTGAAAAGTTTAATCCATTTCTTACTCATGGTTTCCTTTCAAGCTTGGAAGAAACCGGTTGTGCAGTGAAGGTTAAGGATCTTAGCTAAGTACATGCTTAATAAGTTCTTTGTCAAATTTTACTATAGTCCCTTTTGATCATCATATGGAATGCAGTTCTTGTCCTTTATTTTAATTTAGGCTCACTAATTTTTTTCTTCATTTCCAATACTGCAAATGCGATTCCAAATTAGGTTAGTGTGTGACCTTTCTACATTGCACCCTGTTTGTTGTATGGCATCAATATAATGTAGTTGAGCAATTTCAAGTTGAATTGGTTATTTACTGTGAAAGAAAATAAATTTCATTGTTTATGACTAAATAAATAATTTAAGTAAGGACAAAAATTCTGCATCTTTATCTATCTATGAAAACAGTTGAGAAAGTTCCTATCTGCTAGCATCCTGTTCATATTAGAATTATAAGTTACGGCGCATTTGCACATGCATTTAGCCCATCCCCCTCTCCCCCATTCCACCACGCAAATGTTTAACAACTCTGTAAAGTATGCTGCTGTTCTTCCAGCCATTCATTTTAAAGTGCTGGTACATGCATTTTTAAACTGGGGATGTACTAACATGTGCTATATCTGGCCTTCCGTAATGTTTGCCCGTTCATCCAGCATTATAACTGTCACAAAGATATTTTTTATATGTGCGAAATATGCAGCTCGACTTTGTCACTTTAGATAACTACAACAACAACAACAACAACAACAACAACAAACTAAGTCTTATATCCCATAACTTTGGGATTGGCTATGGGAAAGGCCAAAAGGAATCATGTTATGACATAGTTTTGAATTTTCTTGCGCCGCTCATTTCTATCAATAACAACCTTTTTATCTACTTCCTTAACCTTTAGTTAGATAATTGATGCACATAAATTTAAAATTCCATATTGTTTAAAGTTTTTTGTTTAAAAATCAATTTTCAGGAAACAGGATGGATGCCAAGCCACATTGTTGCTAAGGATGAATCTAAAAATATTTTAGGTGTTGTTCCACTCTATCTTAAAAGGTTTAGCATCCTTTACGCTATCCTCATTGAATATCCTCGTGCAGTTTCTTTACTATGTTTCTCAAAATCTATTGTTTACCCACTTTGTTGGTTGGCTATTTTCTCATCTCTTTTAATTTGGGTTTGCAGCCACTCCTCTGGTGAATTTGTTTTTGATCATTCTTGGGCAGATGCCTACCATAGTTTTGGCTCAAGATATTACCCAAAGTTCCAGTGTTGTGTGCCTTTCACTCCTGTGACTGGTCCTAGGATTATAATACGCAATACTTCATTTAGAGATCAAGTTTTTGACATTATAGTCTCTGCTCTGAAGGATCTGACTGCCAAGGTAGTGTGTGAATCAAATCATTGTTATGTTGAGTGCGTAATCTTATCACAGGTTTTCATGCCAACTGTATCCAATAATTTTTCTCTCATAAAACATATCTTGTTGTTTCTCATATGCAAGACAGACATCAAGGATATATTCAGGATAAGCTCGAGTCCTTTTTTCTTGTTTTTCTGGGTTTTTTTTTTTTTTGGGGGGGGGGGGGGTGGGTGGGTTTGGGATGGGGATGGGGATGGAGTGGGGGAGAAGGCACGTGGAGGTAGATTACATGGTATATTTATATATTTTCAGTTCTGGGTCAACTATATTCATATTTATACTAGAATCATTATCCAGTTTGTAGTAAAAAAATTCAGACTTTCAATGTATTTGCAAATCATGAATTTTGCATTGGCTAACATTTCGTAAAATGTGTACTTAGATACAACTTTTAGACAAACATGCAAGAGAAATCATTCTGGAGTTCTAGAGGGGATGGTTGGGTAAAACATAGCCTCATTAATGTGATAGGCATCAATCTAACCATTATAGTTCTAAGAAACATCATCATTTTCATTATGCTATTCCAAATCGTAGAAATGGTTAGGAGATATTATCAGTTTGCTGAAGCTTCCAGGTTGCCTGAAATAAGGAAAAACTATCTTACAGTTGCAAAGAACTGAAAGAGCCAATGCATATCAGGACACCAGCTTCAGTTGGCAGATGCCTTTTGCCCTGACCCATCAACAGGAAATAAGGATAGAGGAACAATATTTGAAACAAGCAATTAAATTCTATTAATGAGTGGGGCATAAGGGAAGAATTATGGGAGGAACAGATCTGCATGAAGAAGACAACCAACATTGTCGAAAGCAATGGAGAGCACCATGACAATTGTTTATGGCACGGTTTGGTTAAAATTAAAACATATCTCAATAACTGGCCTCAAAGTCTAACTCTTTTGTTTCTGTACTTTATGGCAATATAAGCTACTAGTTGACTTTTGTTCTCTGAGTTAAAATTTTCTTGCAACCCTGGAATAAAGGTCTTGTTTTTAACTTCCATTATGCTGCGCCCTCAATCTAATTTAATTTCTTTCAACAGTCTCAAGTTTCTTCTCTGCACATTACCTTTCCATCTGAAAATGAATGGCATAAATTGAAGGATAAAGGATTTCTGCAGAGGATTGGAATGCAGTACCACTGGAATAATCGCAACTATAAAAGGTAAGTGCTGACTGAACTATTTACTTGGTTATGTTAAAATGTCCTTCTATAGTTTATTACACTGCTCTAATCTATATCAATTCGTTTGTTCTATATTTGACTTAATGCTGAAATCTTGGCATCAATCCCACTGGTGTATTTGGCTGATTTAGATTTTTGCTTAAAGATTATAAAATATTGATCAAAGAAAGAAATGAAAGTAATTAAATCTTTAATTCTCCATTTTTCCAAAGAGATAGTCCAAATATAAAGCCTAATAACACACCAAAAAGCATAAAGTGTAATAAAAATTAGAACTTGATACTCCATCTTAGAAATGAAAGTAATTAAACTAATATAGAACAATGCAAAATATTTTAGAAAAAGCTGCATGAAAGAAGGTGCAAGAAATAAAGATCATTAATGGAGGAAATTCTATGATATGGTATTTGTCATATTTGTTTGGTATGTAGAGTAGAAGTTTGTTTTTGTTACATTAATACCTAATGTTTTGTGTTTTAATTCACAGAACTATTTCTTCTGTTTCATATTAATGTAAAAATATCAAAATACTGTAAATTTGTCTTTGTGTCTCAGTTTTGATGAGTTCCTGATGGACATGAAGCATGGTAAAAGGAAAAATATTCGTCAAGAGCGCAAAAAGGTCTATATCTTTTTCAAATAGTTCAATTTAATAACTATGTACTTAAATCTGTAGTGACAAAATTTGATGTCTTGCATGAAATCTTCTTCAGAGAAATCACTAAGACTTAAAAGGATTCACATTATCTTTGTTGTCTTTAAATAGTATATATTTACATAGTTAGAATATTTATCAAGCTAAAAATGCATAAAATCAATACCATGCATATGGTAGTGCTGATAATGATGATCATATTCATGCCTTGTGCTCTCTTTATTGCTTGAATGACTACCCTCTTGTGTTATGAATTTTAGTCTGTAGCCGTAACTGTGTTAGCTGTTATGTCAATTGAATTTTGGGGTACATAAAACATCACATAAACCACTTCTAAAGCTCTTGATGACTTTATATTTTTATAAGGTGTGGATATTACCTAGAAAACTTGACAATGATTTTTGCATTTTTAGAAATGTATTAGTTCTAATCAGTAAAACTCTTAAAATAAAATATTCCAGTTTTAATGTCATAGAATGATTTTAAAATTCTAGGTGCATTTATTTGCCTCTAATAAAGAGGTCTCTATCTATGTCAGAAACATATAGTAACATGCTTAGATAGTTGCTGTCCTGCTTGCTAGTTTGCTTTAATCTGAATGAACTTTTCTATTTGCAGATTTGTGCACAGAACTTGACTATGAAACGGCTTAGAGGTTATGAAATAAAGGTAGTTAGTATTATTTCAACCGATCAATATTTCCAAACATATTTGCTGATATTTAACTATTTCTTCAATTATGCATGGGATATATCCTCGAGCATGTATAGTTTTACTGAGCCTTCCTTGTGGATCAACGTTCAATGACAAATGCTGCTTACATTACAAAAGAAACTGGCAGTTATACTTTTAAATTTGCATTTTGGTTAAGACAGTAGGTTATCTGCATCGATATGTCAATGTATATGTTGAATATCGTTGAAAGAAAGTAGAATTTTGTATTTTCATGCAAACCATCTAGTTTAAATTGTTGTATGCACATATGCTATGCAAATGAGCATGCGCCTTTGTATTGACATATGTGTTAGTACATAGGCTTCCATTAATGGGGTTTTGTTTTGTGTTTTACCCTTTCAAGCTGTATAAGTTTGAAGGTAATCCAAGTAATGATTAATTTGTTCTTTTTTAAGCTGACTATATTGAATAAACTGCTTTCTGCAACATAATGGGACTTAAAATTTTTCACTACTTTCACTGCAATTATGCAGCAAGAAACAGTTGCAATTATTACCTTTACTTTTTATGGCTGTCTTAGCAGGCCAATCACTGGGATTCCTTCTACAAGTTCTACAGGAATACTACTGATAATAAGTTGATCCTTATCTTGAAACCTCCTTTTGGCTTTTTACAGAAATTTAAGTAACTGTAGACAATTTTGATGAACATATAGTAGATTTCATAATGTTAGCCTTTTTTATAAGACGCCTGAAGTGTATGATCAATTTTTATAGGTGGGGCAGTCCTTACCTAACAAGAGATTTCTTTCATGAGATGGGATCAAAGATGGGAGATCAGGTGTTACTTGTAGTTGCTGAAGAAGGGGATGAACTTGTTGCAGGAGCTCTAAATCTCATTGGAGGAGATACTTTATTTGGACGCATATGGGGATGTCACCCTCAAGTCTATTATCCGTGCTTGCACTTTGAAGCCTGTTATTATCAGGTTCAGATCTACAAAACAATTGAAAAAGTTATGAAAAAAGGTTCTTTTATCAGGATCCAATTATGTAGAATATGAACTTCAATTTCAGAACTAATTCATGAATAATCTTTATGGATGTTATACTTGAGCATGTAAGTGAGTAAAGCTAGTGATGTAGAACAAGGTTGGAAAATAGATAGTAAAAAAAATTTGAGGTAAAGTCTGAAATAGTTTTAAGAAATTAGTGAAAACTAAGGAAACTAGGCAAGAAGCAGAAGAATCAAGGAGAGACAATTGCAAAGTACCAATATAGGAATAAAATCTCAATAATTCATTAACAAATCTAGAGTAACAAATCTAGGTATGTCTGATAAACCATTGAAAATTAGTTTAATTTTTTCAATATGTTTGATGATATTGGCCAAAAAAAATGTGTTCGAAAATACATTTTTACAATCCACTTAGTGGAAGATTTATGATGAAAAGGTGTTGAAAATCTTAAGTAGCTAAAATGTACTTAATGTATTCTGTCAAAGTTATTTAAGGCAAATTTGTTTTTCAGTTACATTAATCTTATACTTTTTCCTTTTCATCATTTAGTTTTTCTTTTTAACTTTTATCAATTCTAAATTCTTTATAAAATTATCTCTCTTTTTAAAAAATTCAATAAAAAATCTGTTGAACATTTAATTTTCAATAGCATGCTAATTAGTTTTTATATTATTAATTTAGTATTTAGATTTTAATGTTGGATTTTTTTCAGTTTATCAAATTGTACCTTAATATCTTGTAACTACAACTTACTTGAAGCTTAAATAACATATGTATTTATAATTAAACTCTAAACCGTAGCAAAACCCCTAAATATCAAATATAACTAAAAGCCCTAATACTTGGAAATTAAGTAGAATAATAATTAATACAAAATAAGTTAAATAGTATAAAATAGCCTAATTACAAGCTTTGGCATTGCATGTTGATACGATGCGATACTAAATCGATTAAAAGAAAATTTCTTTATATTATTATCAAGGTTGAAAATTAAAATTGATTTAATAAAAAATTGAGACATTATTAAAGCTAGATTATGAATATTATGATTTAGTAATATGATGTTCAATTGATTTAATAAAAAAATGAGAGTATGTCATTTAGAGTCTTAGTTTGTGAAAATTGAAATTTAGAAATTCTTTTAACAAATTTATGGTGTTCAATTATTTTTTATTTGTATTAGTGGCCTTAACATTGGCTTTAAGATGCAAAGAACAAACTAGATTATTTTAGATTCAATCCTTCTATTGTAATGGAATAATTATCATACTCTAAGGTGATAAATTTGACTAAATTCATAAATTTGAAAATCACAATCTGAATTTTATGCTCTCCATACAAATATAATCTTAAAATCAACTCTTTGAACTCTATTAAATAAATGTATTTCACTCATGATTATCATACAAATGGTAGAGCACATTTAACACATTTTTCTTTTAATAGTTAAAACAATATTAGTAGAAGATGAAAGATATTATGAAATAAATTTACAAAATACATGCATATTATTTGTTGAATTGGAATTTGCTAGTTAATTGTTAAGAAAGAGAATATGAAAAACAATAGAAAGATAGAATAGAAATAGGCCTAGACTGCACTTGCCTAGCACAGGAAATGAGCTTGAAACTTGAATGAAGGTGCTTTAAGTGAGTGGGATCATAATGGAGAAAGCACTATTGTGGTAAAAGTGTATTTGACTACATATGCATTACTACAACAATAGTGTCATAGACCCAACTTGAGTTATATGCTATAATATGTTGAATTTAGTTATCCATAAAAATGAAAGTATATTGCAAAGTTTGGTTCTTTTAAACTGTTTTTGTAATAGTGCATTTGTGTTACCATAATAGTGCATTCTTCATTCTGCTCTCACTTTCCCAACCAAGCACCTTCTTTCTCACTTCAAGCATGTCTCCATACATATTGCCACAAATTTTTTAGTGTAATATTAGGCAATTGTAGCTATGGCTTTCACCTTTCTTGTTCCTTTTTTACCGCTTCTCGTCTATTCTATCCCTTAACCATTAACTTTCAATTCAACATATAATAATATGTAGTGTATTTTTTATGTTTATTTCTCAATAATGTTGCATTAGAATATGCACCAAAGCTTGTATAAATATAAAGGAGTTGATGTCATGAATGGTTTTTAAACTATAGTGAAATGTTCAATGTGGTGTCTAAGCTTTAAAATTTTCTAAGTTAATACCTAAATTATGAATCTATTAACTAATGTGGTACTTACCTCTAATGCGGCTAGTTTCAAATGATGACATGTGACAGGCAAACAACCCTCTAAGTGCCATTTTATGACCACAGATAGGTAGTATTAGCCACTATATGTTCTGGCAACTGCAATTTCCTTAATATCATGATAGAAGTTTTCATACTAAATTGAATGAACTAAGCCTTAGTAATCAAGCTTTTTCTGCACATGAAGCCTTTTTTATCCATTCTTCCTGATTTTGATGGGAATTCATTAGGATATAAAAGATGATGAGGCATAATTATGATTTTGCATTGTTTTCCTTCGGTAGGCAATTGAAGCGGCTATTGAAATGAATCTAAGCACAGTAGAGGCGGGAGCTCAGGGTGAGCATAAGATTCCACGAGGTTATTTGCCTGTGACAACTTATAGCTGTCATTACTTTATGGATGAAGGTTTCAGGAAGGCCATAGAGGAATTTCTGGTGAGAGAATCGAATCAGGTATGTCAAAGCACAATGGTACCTACAGTGAAGATAATTCGTAGCGTGTTGCATATAATAATATATTTCAAAATCAAACGGTAATGCACTCCTTCCAAGGCATTGTGATTTCCACTTTAAAAGGAAAATGCTTTATGTTGAAGAAAGCGAGGTTTCCAATCTCTTTCATGGTTAGTTTATACTCGTACTTAATGATAAGGATGATATTATAGATGACAGTCAGTGAGTTACATAAAATCCAAGCGTTCTCTACAATTGTCTTTGATCTTTGTTTCTTGGATAAGTCTATCTTCTATCTGTCTCACGTATTCTTCGATAGCTTCAAATGTTACCTTTGTATAGAAATAACATCCATGTGATTTATTCATACTAGTGTTTTTCATAGTTCAAAAGAATAATCTTGTGCAATGCATCCACCACTCTCTCTCTGAAACGTCATTTCAAAAATAGCCAATTTGTTGGCATTTACTCGTGGAAGCACTGGCTACGGATTTTTTTCTTGTTTTTACAGTTAGTTGTAACATAATGTCTGTTAAATTGAAGTCTTCATTTGCAGGTTAGGCTTGTTACGAAACTGTTACATGAATCTGGTCCCTTTAAGGAGGTTATACACTAAAGGAGGTGCTGTGTTTTTTTGAAGAGGAAGCATCGAATGCATTGGCATGGACTGTAATTTATTTGTGAAATGCCTTTTTGTGCGTTTACATATTGTAAGTTGAACCATGTAATCACTGGAAACTTGGAAGCCTTTGTACATAATCACAGCAGCAGCAGCAGCAGCAGCATTATATCAGAAATGGAGAAAAGTTGAAAAGAGGTTGCAATTTTAATTTTGAAGGTTCTTGAAACAAACAGTCGGCAATAACCTAAGCAAATCAGCTCTAAATTGTTCTGGGAATTCCTATGCATCTTTCTCCAGAAATTATTATTTTTTGGAAAAATTGAAAAATTAATTATTTTTTTCAGATCATCAAACCACATTTTTTCATGACATAAAAAAAAGAAAAAATCAATCGGCGTTAGAAGTCAACATTTCATTTGAATTAAGAGTCTTTTTGAGTATAAGTTGAAGGTTAAGAATTTATTTAATATAATAAAGGTATATAGATAATTTAAAAAAATATAAAAATAATTATGTTAATTAATATAAAGTTTATTATTTTAACATTAGTGTAAATTTTAGTCAAAAAAATAATAAATAAAGGAAACTTTAATTGATTTTGATTTATCGGTATTCCCTAAAATTTTTTTATTAATAAAAATAAAGTTCTTATTTTAAATTAAATATATCTTATTGATATTTACAATAAAAGATTAAAAATATTAATTTAAAAATATAATGAACGTCTATGATTTTAGTGTAAACTTTAACTCATTTATTTATCAAATAAATTTATCTAATAAAAATGCAATAAACTTCTTTTTATAAATCGAATATAGGTTATTAATATTTAATAAAAAAAATAAAATGACAATTTACAAATATAATGGAATAGACTCGAAATTATTTATTTTAAATGTAATTGGCATGAGCAAATACCATGTATCAATGGCCATAAAAAAACCCATGTAATCCATCCAAGAATCCTGAACCTGTATCTAACTTTCAATTTTGTTCATTGCAAGCTACTTAAGACTTTTACCAAATTCCTTCATTTTCAGAGCTGTGACAGGCCATTATCATGTGATAAATTCAGCTGCAATTGTTCAGACAATAGACTTTGTAAGAATTAAAGTTCCTTCCTAAACTGAAACATGATTCCCCCTATTCACAGAATACAATCTCACCATAAATATATCCAGATTATCACTGTAGTTTGAATGATAAAATGACATTTTAATTGCATGCTTTTCGTTGTCCATTAAATATATAAAAACAAGAAAAAAATGGTGGAAATATTGCCTCACAAAAAAGTGGATCATGATGATAGGTCTATGGGGTTGTGGGCTTCAATATCTACGTGCCGAATACCGGGAACAAGTTCTTGGATCTCCTTTTCTAGCCGATCAACTTCACTTCCTAAAGCTGTGACTACTTCCTCGCCTGCAAATAAAAAGTCTTTCGTTAGACACATTACAACTCATTTAGCAGGTCAATGGTTCATCAACTTGCATACCATAGTTAGACATGATCTTTAGCAATGCAGAATCATCTTTCTCCTTTGCAGCTTCTCGAAACTGTATACATCCACTCCAGTTGGTCAATATGCATATGAAGCATTAAAAAAAAAAAAAAATCCCAGAACAAGAATTTTGCCATATTGGATAATTTAGAAGGCTTAAGGCCTCCTGATTTAGTGCTCTTTCTTTACACTACCAATGTTTTAAAATCCAGACCAGAGATCGAACTGGTTGGATAATTCAACCAATCCGATGGACCAATCTGATATAGCTATGAAAACACTGGACTGATTTGTCACTTTATCATTCAATACACTACCGCTCCTTTGATAAGAAATAAAATCACTAAAATGTACCAAGGAGTAGCCAACTCAAGAACTAGGCAAACATACCCAAGTAATGTGTAAATTATGTGGTGTTGACAAAACATTAAAATTTCAAACCATAATTAAAATAGTTATTGGCATATTGACTTAAAAGATAATTGTGAAAAATATGTTATAATTAATGTTGGATGTCACAAGGACATCATTTCATTTTGTATATTAACAGTTTGTACAAGTTAATACACAAAATGAGTAGCACTTTAAATACTCAATTATTGGAGTTTATGCAAAAACATAAATGCCTGTATCAAGGAAAATGTTCATGCAGCCAGGAAAAACATGCCAAATCAGTTTATTAGGCTAGTATTTATATTTACACATAGATAAGTGCACAAATAATTGAACAAGCAATGTGTTGAAGATGAAAAAAGAAATTGGAGACTAAAATAGTTGACCTGTCCTGCCCACTCTTCACGTCCTGTTCTGTCAAGGTAATTTTGCACAACCACCACTCCATTGAAATCTGTAGCATACATTGTCTCAGCAATAGAAATAAATGCCAAAAGGTTTAAACTAGAAAATGTCAATGATTTATTTTAGCAGACCAGATCTAGCATAAATTCTGCGCTAGTAACCCAATGTCCATGATTTATTTGTTTACACAAGATACTTATCCTTCCCTACTGATCATTAATCCAAAAATACAGAAATCAACACGAATTTATTTATAATTCTAGCAAGAAGAACAACATATCCATGTTCGTAACATACTAGTATCATCAATGTGTCATTGACAAGACAACTAGCAAAATGCATCTCTTGTTGTCCAGTTAAAATACTTGTATTGCACAAGATTAAGGAAATTCGCAAAATATGTTGAAATAGAAATTAATATTAAGAAAGCTAACCTAAAAAATAATAAGAAAAAAAGAAAGAGGAAGTGTAAGAAAATCACCGATCTCTGCCTTGAATCTGAAGAACCCAGGTCCAATCACCTCACTTTTGCAATCATATATAGCATCTACAACCTGCAAAAATTTCATGCCCCTCAAAATTTTCAAGAATGATCATAAATGAAGTGGATTTCAAGTTAAATAATTCTAGTACAGTATACCAGGTCATTCTTCAAGAAATGGAGAACCTTCTGCGTATCATGTTCATCAATAGCTCTCCCTATCAAGGCATGCCGGTTCCGCTGGATGAGAAATATTGCAACCTGCATTAGTAATATACTTCAATTAGATATACCACAGACCAAAATATGCTTGAAATCATTATAATAACATTGCCTTGAGACTTTTAACTCGATTCTGCCTACATAGTTCCTCCCTCCCTCCCTCCCTCTTTCTCTCACTTTTTAACACACACTCACATATGCATGTGCACAATGTCTTCTCTTGCAGGGACAATCAGTCCAAAATGAACTAGCACTCCTGAAATCATCTCCAAGCTATTGCCTAGAAGTCATTGCATCAGACACCTACTCAATTTTTTCAACTTTCATAATGCCAAATTCCGTGCATTCCCATACATATCATATGCTATTGATTAATTCTTAGGAAACAAATTTTTTTTTTTTTTACAAAAAAAGAAGGAAACGGGGTAAAAAGATGTTCCTTTAGCAAATGAAAGTTACATATTACACTTATTCCCAAAAAAACCCAGCTAAAATTATGAAAATAAACAATTGGCATTCTAAATTTACCTTGCTATTGCTGCATGGGTATAACAAACCTATATGTGAAAACAAAATTGGGAACATACGAGGCCAATGCAAGGCAAAACGCACCCACATGCATATTTCCTTATGTATTAATTATCCATGAATCTTGTTTCAGCAGCCTAAAACTTAATCAATTCATTCGATAAGTCATCTTTTCACAACTTCATTTCTTTACATAAGAATTTACATAAGCAATGTCTAGAAATCAAGGCTCATCATCAGAGTTGCTAAAGCCATCAAAGCACACAACAATCTAACAATATATAATGGAAAAACTTTTGCAAAAACTTGTACCAGATTATCCATTTCATAGAGGACTTTTCATCAAACTTAACTCTGCTAACATGGTCAAGCATTGTTTGCCACAGTACTAAATATGGCATAAATCACAAATCAAATCATGCACATCACCTTAACACAAAAGATATAGTAACTTGCCTAAATTCTTGGTCTTATCCTGCCCTTTCATACTTCATAGGAAATGTTCAGGCACACCCTAGTTCTTCACCAATCAACTCCTAAAGACAACACAGCATGTTTTCTCAGTAACCCATGAAAACACACAAATGACTAAAATCTAATTGAAAGCATATCACCTTAAAAACGAGATAGAATAGCCAAGAAAGCTGTAACTATGTCCTTAATTCAAGAGAAACCAAGCTTCTAGTTCAGACCAAACACTACTTAAAAACTATGAAAAACTAATAAATATCATCCTGCATGTTCACAGAGTTTGCTTGCAAATATCAGGCAGCATTTGCTGATGTTCAGTTAATATGTAAAAATTTCAGGGGTAAGAAGTATAACAGACCATTCCAAGAAGGTTGCCAACTATAATGGAGCCTATGGGATCATAAATGGCATTCCCAGTTGTATTCACTGCAACCAGTGATGCAGCAGCTATAGCAAGACCAGTTACTGCAGCACCATCCTGCAAAAGTTGACATAATCTACTGTGAAGCAACTAGAGAAACAAACTGCAATAGCTAGGAAAAATTGCAGCTATCATCATGATTCTTATAATTTTTTTTAATAATTGAACTTCATAAATGAACCAAGGAGAAAAACCATGCACAAAGGTATGTTTACACACATGAAAGAAGTGGAGGTCAGAAAAAGGGAATTGGGAAAAGATATGGCAAAGAGGTAACACAGTCAACACTCAACATCATCCTTGAGGTGTGCCGAAAAGAGAATAGGAAAGAAGATGCCAGGAAAAAGGCACAGGAAAAGCATATCAACAATTTAAGTAACAGATTTTCAATTTAGATATCCAGTTGACAATATTTTCCCTTTAGATCCTTCAAAACAATAGCCAAGCAAACCTATTAAATATTTTAGAGCAAGGGACAACAAATCATCAATCATTATACCAGCAGCTGATCAATTAAGCTAAGAAACCCTTAAATCTGACTCATGCATGAGAAATTAAACCTAACGGGGGCCAGAATGAAGAGCATATAGTGATATAGATATTTGCGACTTCAAAATTCTTCCTACAAAATGCAATTTAATCAGTCTTTCATGTAGTTTTCATGCTTCTACAGCCCATTACTTTAGCTGTCTGTTACAGAATATGAATTAAGAGAAAAAAGAACTTACAAATAATTATTCTCATTTAAGGCAGCTAGTTAAATTAACCACATCATAAACACCTATGACTAAGTTATAACCCATAAGTGATTGACAATAAACAAGATAACTTATCACGCCTTTTAGGTTGATTTACTGGACAAGCCCAGTTGTATACATTCTGTGCATTGCACCATATGACTAGTAAAATATTTCATTTTCTAAAAGGGGAACATTCACTGTTAAGTCAGAATAAGCACAGGGAAAACTATGATAAAACTATTCAACCAGCTCACCTACATGTAGAATATCAAAATATTCCATAAATCCCACAAACGCTGCAGTATTTCTCAGCAGTGCAAAACATGCCTGCACCAGGGAATGTTTACCCCTGGGTAAGCAAATGTGCAGCATAACTGAAGATTAGTGCTATTGCTTCCTTTATCTTGTTTATTTTTAGTTTTTCCTTTGCAAGGCTAAAGGGAGAAGCATGTAAAATTAAATGCTTAAATTAGTTAATGGTACATAGGTAATGCTTAAATTAGTTAATGGTACATAGGTCAACATTAGACTCTTGTCTTAACTAAACTAATAGATCTATCCATAGCTTTAAAAAGTTCAAATATAAGAACTCTACAAGGCAAATATGTTAAACTAAAATATTATGTCATATCATCTCCAATCTTACTGCTACAGCAACTGAATATCTGAAATTCATTCTTACTCTTTAAATGCTGTTCCAAAATTCCCTGCATTCAACAGGTTCAATTCTTTAATAACTAAAGGTGCACAAAGGCATAGTGAATTACCTCTGTCATGACTGCAACAGATGTAGGATCATGACCACGCCAGACATAGTCCCTTACTTTCATTCCCTCTGCTGCTGCACCTTTCTTGACAGCTTGTATGGCAACAACAAGAGAAGCACCTGAAGAGGTGATATGATAGTTTAAAGAGGGAAATCTGAGGACGAATGGCTTAAGCTAAATGCAATTTTGCAACAACAAAATAGCCTACAATCATAATGCTCCAGTTTTACCTTCAATTATAAATGAACCACCTATAACCAAAGCTGCATACTCAATATTAGTAGGGGGCTGAAGAAGACAAAGAGTAAATTAAGCTGCCATTTATCAAGGCAATAGCTAAAAAAAAGGAATAAGGAAAATACTAAAGAAGCAGAGAATATATAAATGAAATAAATAAATATATATATGGAAAATGACTTAGTCAAGTACATGTGATGTCCACAGGTTTTGAACTCCATGAACAATTGTAGCGCCAGAGCCAAGACAGAATATGCCAACAGCAGATATCAAGGACCAAACAAATCTTTCCTTGGAATAGCCATATCTGAGAATAAAGAAGAGGTTTCAGCATATCCTTAAAGAAATGAACTTGCGTCTTGCGTTTACAAATAATTCCCTGGTGTACTGTTTATGCAACAAATTAGACATAGGAATAAGCTGATAAAAAAGTCACCTATTTCTGTTGCAACAAAATAAGTGATATTAAAAAATTTAAATTTCTTAGCTTTCTACTCTAGCTCAGGAAAGCAACCGATTAAATTTAATACTTGAATTCTAGAAAAAAAAAGTGATCATAATGTCAAGGTGGAATTCAAAACATAAATATAAAAATTTGTTTAATTAGTGGAAATTTCAAAGAATGAGACAACTATACAAAGGCACATCAAATATCCATGAACCTATGTTACCCCAACTCTTCATTTTCCCTGAAGTACCTGTGTCCGACACATATTTGGACATGGGTATGGGGGTACGATCCTCCAAATGTATGAATAAACTTAGAAAAAAATTGAGCATACCCGTGTTGTATACATACCCATACCCATGAACCTATATTATACCCATGTGGAATTCAAAAAATAAATAAAGATATAAATTTGTTTATATGGTGGAAATTTCAAAGAATGAGATGACTAAACTATACAACAGCAAATCAAATATCCATGAACCTATATTACTTTGATTCTTCATTTTTCTTGAAGTACTTGTGTCCAGTACCCGTGCCCAATACATATTCGGACAGGTATGGGGGTAAAATCCTCCAAATATATGGAAAAACTTAGAAAAAATTTAAGTATACCCATGCAGGACACATACCCGTATCTGACACTCACCCCCTAGTCCGAGAAACATAGCTATGAACACGTAGATGCATAATTCCATGCTGGGAAATTATAACAGCTTGTAACAGAGTTGCTACAATTAGAAAAGGCTGTTTGTGCCACAGAAAAGAGACTTACGGATGAATAGCATCCGGTGCACGCCTTGAACTACTCAGACCATAAGCAAGCATTACCTACAATGCAACATGAATTAGTTTCTCTGCATTCCATAATCAATAAATTTAGTTATAAACCAATAAATCAGTATCAAGGTATCTACTTAATTACCTGATTAGCAAAATCTGCAACTGAATGAACCATTTCAGCTAACATAACATGGCTAGAGGTCGTTAACCAAACCCCAAACTTGAGAGAAAAGACAAGGAAGTTGCACCATAATGCAATTGTAACAGCTCGTTGACTAGAGGATCAAAGATTCAAGGCAAACAAAAAAAGGTCAAGGCAAAAGGATTATAAATAAGCTGAGATATAGTGGCTAAACAACTGGAATCTAAGTATTCACGAAAGCATCCAATGGAAATAAAAAGAGCACAAGCCACTTATAATGAAATATAATAACTAACCAACTACATTTATAAACATCACATAACAGCCACGAATTAAAAGAGATTAAAAAAACAAAAAAGGAAGTACCTGTGCTGATCATTGATTTCAATCTTCTTTATTTGTTTAGCCCTCGTAAAAAAGCCTGCATTTAATACATAGATGTTCATTTGAAGACAATTTCCAAAGAAAAAATTAATACCCATTTTTTATAGATAAAAGATAGTACTACTACTTACTTCGATGGGAAGAGTAAAAATGTGTATGATGCTGATAAGTGATGGGATCATCAGTGGGCAATACAAAACCCAGCAAAATGAAACGTTTCGAACCTCTGAATTGTCCGGTAATTGTTGTATAGGGATTAAATTGAAAAAAGCCCTTATTTTGAGGGTCTAAAAAAATTGACTGGGAGAGATTGTTAAACGATGAGTTGACAGTGATGGAGGAAGAAGGGTGTTTGGAGGAGCGAAGGAGGCGAAAAACGAAACGACACGACGCTTGCATTTACTTGGATTGCAAATTTCCGGGAAGAATCCTTTATTACTAATCCTTCGGTGGGCGGCTTACCTTATTATCACTCCAAATGGCTCAAGAATAGCTGGGATGGGAGAAGAACTGGCTTTTGGCTGTCTTGCCTTTGCCTGTGAACCTCTTAGACTTTTTGAAAAGGCCAATAGCCGATAGCTGATGTCATCTCTCTCACGTTCATCATAAAAAGAGTCGGAACCAGAAGACGTCTTAACACTTTGATTTGGGAAAGTGGCCACAGCAGACCAAGCCCCCAAAGAGGTTGCCGAGCTCAAAGACGCTCCCCCAAATGCTCCCTCAGAGGGACTAAGCTGAATGAAATGAAAAGTTGAATTTGATTTTTTTTTTTCGTTAAAGATTGAGATAAACCCATTTTGGAATTTAGGGTTTAAAGAAAGGAAAAGTGCAGATATGACAGGGGCAAAACGGGAAAATAGCTTTTGTCATGCTCGTACCTTTTTCCATATATATTTATATAATTTTTTTTTGGTGTAATTTGATCTGTTTATATAATTATATTATAAAATATTTGTATTATAAAATTTTAAGATTGTAAAAATTTATTTAAAATCTAGATTTTAAGGCCGCACTTTTGTGCGAGTAAAATACAATTATATATAATTTAAACATTAAAAAAATTATCTTTAAAAGATCAAAGAAAATTTTTTTGATTTAAATTAATTAAAAATAATTACATATATTTTTAATTGTGTTGGTTAATGATAAAAATATGCTTGATGAAAAAGTGGCAAGCTTTGGCTAGGTTTGGAAAGAGAAATCAGAGCAATTATTCTCTTTTTATTTGACATTTTACTGGTTGTTGTCAAAATTATATTTAGGGTCTATAAATATTCAGCATAAAAAAAAGTGTGTTTAGAAAATATTTAACACAAACATGAAATTTTATAAATGCAAAAGATGCAGACCTGTTCAACAATTACATTGTCAATCAAATTAATTCTTTGCTTGTTCAACTTTTTATAACCTCTCTTGTAAATCAATTCCCTTACACTTTTGATATTAGAGTATCTAAAAACATATATTACTAAAAAATAAAACATTACAAGTATATAAAATATTAAAAGAAAAAGCAAGAAAGCATGAAAGTAAAAAATGCTCGTAAGTCACATTAGGTTTAACCAGGTGAAGCATGTTTATTCTTACTTGTTCACTTTAAGAAAAACATCACTGAAAATTTATATTCGTTAAAAGTAAACAAAACAACTTATATTCAAATTTTAATTATTTATTAGAAAAATATTAAATAGTTTAATGCATTCCTTTAAAGTAAACACAACAATAGTCTTATGTTATTTTCTTTTAATAAAACAATCTGTTGATCCCAAGAATCAAAGTTTAATGCATGTCATATAAGATAGCAACATCATAAAGATGATATTGAACAGTATGGTAGTAGCTAAGAAATTCAGGAAATGTATTTTCAAAATTGGCACAAATATATCACCTGGATGTAGAGCAATGGTCTTTGAACATGTTTTATGGAATCAAAACTACTTAAATTAGAGTACTACTCATCTGTCGACTTGAAACCAAACGAAATTGCAAGCAAATAATGTTTCATTATAGACCCTACCTCCCACCCCCAACGTCATCCTTTTTTTTTTTCAAAATGAATATTACAGTTAAGAGCATTCCCTGTGTTAATCCTTTATCGAAGTCCCTAACAGATTTTACATTAATAGCTAAAAGAATATTAAATTCACCCTCCATATCTTTAAATAGGAAAGCATGCCTATAGAACACATGAGATTTAAATGAAAAATTGAAAACTGTGATACCAAGTTGATAAAAGTGGTACTCAAATAAAAACATCTTATAAAAGGACTACTTCTGGAATATTTTACAAAAGGTTCTAGCAAGAGCTTTGTCATAAACATTGTTTAAAGCTTTGTGGAAGTTTTCATCAATAATGATCAAATTGAAAAGATTACACAATGACACAACATTAGAAAGAATGCAAGTATGAAATTCTTGCAAGTGGAACATAGTCAAAGGATAGATGAAATGGAAACATTATTGTGATAAAATAGAGAAAATGAAGCAGAATCGAAACCAAAAAAATATCTAACTTTAAAAACAAAAAGTATAAAAATTTTCTGTTAAAAAATAATGAACTTAAAGCAGGTCAATAGTAAAATCAAATTAAAAACAACTATTAAAGGCATATTTTAGTGTCAACCTCTATGTACCAAACATTAGAGTCAATCGTAAACTAATTGTAATTTATCCTTACAAACTTTACCCTAATTGAAAAATTAGAATTTTCAAATGAATTCGATTTCAAAGTTATAATGAAGTGTTCAATCAAAAATCATTAGGACCTTTTCTCTATCTCAAATCAATGAAATGAATAAACTCCACAGATGGAAATTACTAAGAGAAAGTGTAACTGCCCCAATAAAACACAAATAAGTGATATTAGAAAAAATGAAGATAATTAGTGAACAATGCCAAGAACAACTTCGCAATAGGAAGAAAATAGAAGTTTTCTCACAACAAATAAACAAACACATTTCTACTAATGACATCAAAACTAACCAACTAAGGTAAAACATTTCATCATAAAAAAAAAAAAAGAAGAAACAAATATGGACAGTTATGCTGCTATCTTACCTAACCAAGATATCACAAGAATATTTGTAGTAATGGACCAACAAACAACATATCTGGGTATTTAATGCCAACATGTTTTGTTATTTCATGACGTCTCCTAGAAATGAAGCTGAGCAAAATTGCATATAATATATCAATGTCATTCCAGTTATCAAATCAACATTCTCTTTTTTTAAAACAATTAAAAAAAAACCTAATATTTGAAAACTTTTTTATTAAAAAAATTAAAAATCAAGCAACAAAAAATGAGTAGTAAAGGAAAATATTATTATTACCTATGAGTGATAATTGGACTATCTCTACAACTTTGGTTATTGAAAATCACAATGTGTCACCATTTACTTTTTGTTTTAGTTAAAATATATCTATTACATATGAATCCTAGCTTATTCTAACCAAACTCGGCTACCAAAAAAAAGTCAAAGCTTTTTGGATTAACATAATTTATTTATGCCAGTATTTTTTTAAAAATGGTTGATTTTATGTTACTAATAAAATGAAGATAGAAGAACTGGGAGGAAGGTAGTGGTGGGTAATGGTGGTAGCTGGAGACCCAATTGAGGGCGGTGAAATCGTCGTTTTTGACTTGGTGGCATTTCATCATGGTGCCAATAAGATGAATGTTTAAAGTCAATGAAATAAAAATGTTTTACAATAACATTAGGAACTAAACAACATGTCCAACAATAAGGATTACTGCCAAAGATACCAACACAAATTTATATCCAGGATGGTTGAACAGAATTTCATATATAAACTAAAGATTATAGTAAAATCAGGACAGATGTAGCTTTTGAACTTACTAATGATAATCAAGTTTTTAGCAATCTCAAGAAACTTAAAGCTCTTATCTTTATTGTTTGTTATGATCCGTGATCTCACATACTAAGTATGAGACTATTAAAACTTTCCTTCAAAGTCATAGCATATGATATATTTTACATAAGACTTTGTTAAACTTTTTTATTCCCTTAAAATGTTGAATTTCATAAATACATAGGAAAATATGATTAAGCACATCTTCTTATTGCTTACCATTACTTTCAAATTAGCATCATTTGATTCTACATTCCATTATACTAGTAAACTCAAATCAAAATACCATGATAATAATAAAAAAAATTGTAACATTTCTTACCTAGTTGCACCTCTATACTTTGAGATTCTACGAGAAAATTCACTACTTTTTCGATAAATTAAATCTAAAAATAGATTAATTAAAAAAGAAAAAAAGTATAGGTTTTGTTATTAAGTATTACCTCATCAAATATCCAATATATTTTTATTTTGATTGACCCTCCATTTTCATGAGCTCATTTTGATAAGTTGATTACTAAAAGGAACCAAAATAATAAATGAAAAATTAAGTGTTTAGATCAAAATATAAAAATCACAAGATTTAACAGCTTCAGTACCAAATAAATCAAACCCAATATAATGAATAAAAAAGAAATAAAAACTTTTCACAAAAAAATTGAAAAAAAAGTCCTATGTTCAAACTTACTAGGAAATTAAGGATACTATTCTATCCCCAATAGTTCAATGTAGCCAAGTCATATGCATGTGTTGTCGCTTTTTCATCGTCATAAGCATTTAATCGAAAATCCAACACTTGAATTAAATACTTTAATAATACCACAAAATTGATGATAAAAGGAAAAAGACAAAAGGAAATAGAAAGTAGTTTTTTGACACTATTAAAGAGAAAGCAAACAAAAAAAATCATATACATGTGACAAACTCATTTAGATATACTGCATTAATTTCAATTTGATTTGATTATCGTTTCTAGTACCATCAATATAGTAAAAAAAATCAAACATGACATTTATAAAATTAAATCAAAATTATTAGTTAATAATTTATGTAAAATAGACATGGATATAAGAGAAATACCAATTGGACAACCATTTTTCTGGTTTTTTTTTTTTTAAATTTTCCTGACCATCTCCCTCCACCAGTTTCGAAATGTTAATTAAGATGCATGCATCTAGATGAGATTGATCTTTTGATTTTTAAAATACTTGGAATATTCCAATACCAAGCATCACCAAAAAATAAAAAAAAAATCATAGTCCTCACAATTTGTGAGATACTAAAATAAAAAAAAAAAGAGAAATTTCAAACCAAATCAGTTAAAAATTGACTAATTTAAAAATTTGGCCATTATAAAAAGGAAGAATCTAGAATAGAAGAAAGAATATAAAAAGTAGAGTAAGAATGAAGCAAACTTTGAATTATTTCATGGTTTCTAACTTTGAATGTTTTTATGAAGTCAAAAACAAAATTTCCTAAAATTACCTTTATCAAATTTTATTTAAAATTTTTAGCAATTAACAAAAATTAAGGGAAATTTTATCATTAAGTATAAAAATGAAATAACAAAAGTACTAATTTTAAATTATATAATAAAAAAATAAATTTAATATGATAAATTCAATATTTATTTTTAATTTTTTAAAGACACAATAAAGATTTTACAAGAACAAAGATGTAAATAAGATTTTTCTTCAAGATGTCAAAGAAGAAACAAAGACCATGAAAAATTAGGATCAAGAATGAGAATATTCTTTCCACCTTTAAACCCTATTTGTTGACATTGCTACTACAAAACTTTTTTACTTAAAAGAGAAACTTAATACTAATAAAATTCTACTTTTAATTTCTTACTAAGTGAGTCCCTGCACATTATTGTGGGTCAAAAATTTTTTATTTTGTCATTCATATTTATTGGTTTTATTGCTAAAAATGTACTTAACTTAGAAAAAAAGTGAAAAATGACAAAATGTACAAAAAAATCAAGTGAGGATGATATGC